CCACTTACGGGCGCTCGATCGTGAGATCGGCTCTCGTAACTTTTTATAGGAGGGCTTTTATAAACGATCCTAATCGCGAGATTCGGATCTACGTCAGGATTCCGACACCAGTTTATCAGTTGTTTTACACGCGGATAAACACGCGTGGGGAAATCCTATTCCGATAATAATTGAGAGACATTTCTTTATAAAATAAATAAGAATAAATTTAATAAACCATAAACAATTAAAACTAATACAAACTATTATATAAATGAGAGATAGTAAAAGCGAATTTCAATCTATAAGTCGAGAGAAATACGGACTTATACTATAACCGATATAAGGTCGAGAGAGAGAGCACACAAAATCATTTAAGAACATACAACCTGATCGTTGTCTTTAAACTTCGGCTCTGTATATGAAGTATTTGTTTCACTTCTAGAATTCTCTGTCTTCTTTCCTCTGGAGAGATCAACTTAACTTGATACATTTATATCTTTAGACTTAATCCTTGTATATTGTATGGCTCATAGCATAGGCGTTGGCCTTTAGGAGCAATATGAATGGAGTCCTGACTCTTCTATGTCTGTCGATGAACTCCCCGAATTCTGATAAATTTCCGCTATATCTGCTGATTTTCGACCAATCATCAGACAGAGACTCTTTCATGTGAACGGATGAAAGGGGAATAAATGAGGGGTGAACATTTCCCATCAAAGCTATATTTTTTGCAGATAAGGGAAAAACACAAGATGTTCTAACTTCCCTAGAAGGAAGTAGCATCTGTTATCTATCTTTCCCACATTGGAAAATCGTTAATTTCTCACCAAAACGAAATAATATTTTATGATAATATTTAACATCATAAAATAATTATTAATTGTAGACTCAGGACTATTCAGATCTCACAATATCTATGTCTCTAATAACGTTAGAAACAAAAAAAAACCAATGTCCCGGTGGGAATTTCTTTATGAAGATGGGAGACAAACTCATGGAGCCCTGGCTACAACAGCGTTTACAGACAATGCCTTTGAGGCATGATATCAGAACCATGATACAGGATATTCTAGGTGATGTGCCCAGTGTAGAAGCTCCTACTCATTCTGCATTGAATCTGCGTAAAATATGCTATTTATGTCCATTGAAAGCTCGACAAATGACAAAACACTATTGCATGAAATACAAAAATGCATTTTGCAGCCCCCATAATGTTAACATACGTAGCAACTGTGTGTAATCTTATTTCCTAAATATTTTGTCCTTATTTAGTTCCTATTTAACCATACTATTGTGCCATGTAACAAGTTCCTATTTTTATTAAACATTTTTGTTGATATTAACGTTTTTTAATGTGTAGTTTGCTCGATGAATGTGTAGTTATAATGTAACTAAAAATTAAGTTCAGTTATCTAGGGTTAATAAGGCTAATGCCTGTTACAATGAGATCATCAATATTGCCACCTACTGAGATCCTACAGGTTGACCCAATATCTTTGTTATCTACAAACAGATTGTATTCATTAAGAAAATCTTCCATTATCCTTTTTCTTATATTTGTATGTCTGTAATACTAAGATTCAGAGGGGGACAGTTGGAGTCTGCACAAATTAATACATTCTTAGTTGTTAACTACTAAATATCTTCTGTTTATTTTGAACATTTAAAGAAAGTTTAAGTTTTTGATCAAGGTAAATAGAGTAAATATAAAAAATCTGTTGATTCTGTGAAATTTATACAATCACCATATCTCCTGTTCTTAATTTAGTATGAAATGCATACTTTATGTTGAGTCTTCTGTTCAGGATTATTGTAGCTCAACACAGTATTGGCACATGTTATATAACAAACTTCTAAACACTTCTGATATTCATAGGGGATCTTTTTCTCTTATTGATATGGTTCCCCTTATGTAACTTACAGGCAAAGCAATGTTATTTTTCATTATATAATATCTCATCAAAACTATGATAACTTTACATTAATTTGTTTTAAGATGCTGACACTTGCACTAGTCAGTTTATTCTAAAACTATCTTTGTAATTTTGGTTATGTTCTGCTAAAGGAACCTTGTTTTACATCAGTCTGTTGTTTGTTTTTTGTAAACATATGTTATATCTTGCATAATGTAAGCAATACTCTGTGGAACTGCTAGTCTTATTTCATGCTCATTAGAACATTTTCTGAATATATTGTACTCTGTCTGCACTTTGTACACAGGATATAGACACATAGCAAAGTACACTTTGTGCACTTTGCTGTGTGTCTATACCAGGCATGGCCAACATATGGCCCGTCTAATGAATTTATGTGATCAATCTTTCAATATTAGCTACTCAAGTCCGAATAGCTCGATGAAAAATTCTGACGCCTGAAAAAAAAAGTCAACTCATTGTGCGTTTAGAGTTAACCCTCCATTACAAATCTCGTAAGTACAGCGTAGAATGTTGATAAAGCATGATAATGTGAAAAATGTATCTGTAATCTCTATCTACATTTTGGTCTCTATGGGGTGATACCACATTGAGATCTTGCACCATCTCAAAATCTTCCTAGGGCAGCCTTTGATTTGGCCTGTGAAAAAAGTTTTCTTTCCAATTCGGCCTGGGGCAAAAACTGTTGGCCACCCCTGGTCTATATCCTGTAATCTGAAACATCTAGTAACTATAATAAAGTTCAACATGAACAAACAGACCATTTAAATTTAATTTTCCTTTTTTTTCAACAATTTACAGTGCAGTTTGGCTGTTACCTCAAGAACATTTTCTTGGTGTAATCTTTCTCTTTTTTCAAAGTGCACTTTGTTCCCAGGAAGTTTTTTGTGGAATCTATGGATTTTGTCTCTATAACATCAATGATATATTCTTTTTAAACATCCATGGTGATATCAAACATGCAAACTGTTGGATTACATTCTTGTAGCTAGTTACAATAGCATCATGGTATTTACTTCTTTCCTGTTCCTGTTCAAGATTTAGTTTGTTTGTTTCTGTCTCACATTCTGTTATAATGCTATTTTTGAAACATTTCATTTTATGCACAGATTTTTAACTGTACTGCATTAACAGAAGCTTTTAAAAGTTGTTGTATACTCTTTCCATCAATAGAGCCATTTTCATCCTTAGTAGTGACAGACAGCATTGGTCGTTAACTATACAAACTTTACTGCTTCAGCAATTGCAACACAGATGCTATGGCAGCATAGTTGCTATGTTGTTCACTATTTTGAAAGTGAAATGAGTTGAATTTTGTCAAGGTCATAGGAAACTTTTCTAATGTTTCTAAACTTCCTATAAGTTAACTCATCTCATGTGGAATTTTCTTTAATATCTTTATGTGCTATTTCAAGAATTTAATGCTTCTAGTATATCTTGTGTCTTGTATGTGGTTTTTGAAGAGAGAAATATCACCATAGCATTTGGTAGCCATCTGGTGACTGTCTGGACTTTGCAAATTTGTTTCAAATAAACTATACATTTTGATTTTTTGTCACCATTTTTTAGAAAAAAGTGCATAGATTATTCAAATAAATATGGTATTTACATTTATATAATGCAACTTTCAGTTGATTTTTTAAAATGAATTTTTCATACAGTGCATATATGCTTTTGTTAGAAATTTTATGTAACTTTACCTTATTTATGTATAAATTATAAGTTGTTTATATTTGAAATAAATTAAATAATTTTTTAAGTTGATAATTATTTATCCATTCAAGAAACAAATCTCTTATAATTTCAATACATTTATAAGTTGCACAAATTCTTTATGAGAGCTCTTGAATCTAACTCCCACCAAAATCATGCCCACTCATAAGTTAATTTCATTAATTTGTATACACAATAATGGTTGTTTTTAATATTCTTCATTTTTTTAAATCATAAGAGAAAAACATACAATAATATAAATTTTGATAAGTTTGAAAAACTGCTTTATTTTGGTATATATATATGAAGATATGCATTACCCAAATTATTTTAAGGACACCTGGTATAAAAATCTGTACAGCATTCAGCACTAATATATAAGTTATATTAATTTATTTGTTGATATATTAGAGAGGTGAATTTATGGACAAAATGTATTATTACAATAAAAATACTTTGTATTTCAGTTTGTATTATCAAATTATTATATATATACTGTGTTGTATAAATAATTTGAATGTATGCATAATTTATGTTCGTAACCTTTCAACAGTGGAATAGTCAGGTATAAAGCTACCCCTTAGTAGTGGAGAATAAATGTGCAAAATTTTTAGAGAATTTTTCCATGTGTTTTTTCTCATTACTGTTTCAGAAAACGATTTTGTAAACAGTTATGTCTAGTAAAGAAAAGTCCTTTTTTATTGTTACATAATTCATTTTTATGTGAATTTTTTTTTGCAGTAGTTTTTGGCTAGTTTTCGGTGATACCCCAAAAGAATTTGACGTATATATACGTCCCTCACCACTGCCATATGATTGCCCTGGATGTATAATATACATCCCTCACTGCTGAATGGTTAAATATTTGAACCTGAAGAATAGCGACAAAATAATTCAAAAACATTATTTCTACAAAAATATCTATTGCTTGATTATGATATGATAAAGAATGTGTTATTTTCTTTAATAAATTTATGCTGAAGGAAAATATGGTGAAAAGACATCACCCTATTTTCCTTCAGCATAAATTTATTAAAGAAAGTTTCATTTGCATTAAATCAAATCAAATAATTATTTGTTATTGATTCAATAATATATATAATGTACATTAAATAGTTTAATGCAAATGAAACTCTCTTCAAAAATTACATATCTAAAAATTTATATAGATGTAAAAGGAAAATAAACTAAATTTTTAACTGCAAGAATGTTAAAACTGAAGACTGACAAGCCAAAATGATTATTTTATTAAATTTTTAGTAAATTATTCATTTTATTTTTTGAGAACTTTCTACTACTAACAGGTTAAATTAATGTAATCATTAGAAATTAATAGATTTTGCTTTTAATAAATATATAATTTTTTAATAGGAAATTGTGAATTTGGACCAGGATGCAAATATTCACATATGTCACCAACAGATATTGAAAATTTGAAGAGGGCTGGTAAGCATAACTTAATTAATAAATAACATTTTTGTTTACATAGTTCATAAAGTTTGTTTTAACTTCCATGTAAAACTTGAGAATGTAAATAACTACAGCCTGACAGGAGCAGGAAAAAATATGTATTTTAATAGTAGACTGAACAAAAATACAAAAATTTAACAGACATATTTTTAAAATTTAAACGAAAATACCATGATATTCAGACAGCACAAACATTTTGCAATACTGGACATATATTAGAAGTTAGGGTGTGGATATGCAGGTGTGAGTGAGCGAATTCGCCAAGTGATGTGTGAGCAAACGAGAAATGTGATAAGAGGTGATGACGTTTCTCACTCTTGTTAAGTACAGTACAACTATACCAATATGAGCAAATTGGAGAAAATGGTGAAGTCACATGTTCATGTTGAACTTGTCACAAAGACATGTGAATTATTGCACTGTATGGAAGTAAAAATTAAAATGGTTTGACTACAACAATTACTATTAGCAAAGAAAAATGTTTGTTATTACAATTACTTCATAATTAACACACAAAAAGAAAATGAAAATATGGTGCTTGTTCTCTCGGGAAACAGCAAAAGGATAAAGAACTTTATTATATCTTAGTTGCTTGTTGTTCTCTATTATATGTATTTTCTTAGCATGATGTTGCCATTGTCCTGTGTGAAATGTTTTCAATGGCAACATTGTACTAAGAAAAAACTTTATTATAATTTAATAAAACAGAATTTATCCTATAAAAAACAAAATTGTTAGTTAAAAAAGAAAAACAAAAACCTTTTTATATATATAGTAGATGAAAGATAAGAGAAATTGCCATCTGCTCATGGAAAGGCACATGCACAGTATTTAGTGAGACAAGGTGAGATGCAATAAATATCAAATCCTATCAGATATTTGCGAGAGCCAGAAAGTCACTCTCTCCAGAGAGATTTCTCACTTCTCACTTGTGCATGGTTTTCCTTTGCAAGAACTATATCACTTGCAACTTCTCACTCACTACTAGATTTGCATCTGCATAGTTGCACGCTCACTTGTGTGCTAATTACTTGAATGAATAGCAAGAAATTTAAATAAAATGACACTGAATGTTTTTAAGGCAATAAATGAAATTTATTTATTTTTGTTAAATAATAATAAAACTACAGTATGTCTGAGAACTTGATATTTTGATGACAAAGAAAATTACATGCATGTGTAAAAGTATATTATCTGACTCTCAGCATTCAACATGAACCTAAAATTTGACTCTTGCATAAAGTGCATTAAACCTTTACTTTTCAGACTGAAAATTTGGTATTTTTGTGTTTGACTTTCCCTTTTCTTTGAAGTCTGACTTTTTGCTTTCTTTTATTGTGTTCTAATTTTGTGGACTTTCTTCTAACCTTTTCTTATATGGAATTGAAGTTAAAAATTGTTCTTTTCATCTTCTTCTCATTAATGACCTTATGCTTGTTTCATCTAAAATTGAGGGAGATTTGTTAAAGTATTTTTTGGAAATCACTTGCAATTGACATCATAGGCCTAGAAAAAACAAAAGTCATTGATGTTGATTTTTCAATAAAATGTATTTAGAATACTGCATGGGTGATACTGATACTGGGTGAATCCATACTGCATGGTACTGGGAAACTTACATGTTATGATATATATTCTCGTTCTATAATAAACATTTTCTTTAATTGCCTATTTCTTATCATACTTGTGTATGTCACATAATAAGAGATATAGTAGATGTAAGGAAATGTTAATTTACTCCTCTGAAAAATCAATGCAAAGGACAAAACTTTAAACATTGCATGCACTTCCAGATTGCCCTGAGTACAATTCAAAATTTGCCATGATAGTACAAGTAAGGCATACAGCCTTTCTTGAACTATCATGGCAATAACTGGTACCTATTTGTCATTAAAAAGACATGGACTAAAATAACGTTATTCTGTACTGGACAAAGATCTACTAATTTTGCAAGGATGTCCCAGAAGTTCTCGATGGGATTTAAGTGTGGACTTCACTGGCTATTTCAAAATGTTGATTTTTCCATTCCTTGAAAAATCCATTTACAAGTATGGATGGAGACATCATCTTGTTGAAAGATTTACCTTTCTCCTGCAAGTAAAGGGTTTTTGGGCAATAAAACTCTGATAATAGGTAAATGTAGTCATTGGCAGTTCAGTTTTTCTTCAGAAAGGCTATTTCTGTTTTACGATCATATACAAATTCTGCCCAAACAATAACTTTACCTCCCCATCCACTAGCTTTAGTCTTAGGCTTTTTCTTTAAATCATGCCAATAATATTTAAATCCATTAGCCATAAAATTAAATTTCTTTTCATTACTGAAGATATTGGAATTCCAAACTGTTTTCTTTGATGCAATATGATTGTCAACTTATGTTATGCTTACTGTTCCAGCTGAGCCTATGTGACTCATGCATTACTCTCTTTACTGTTTATACACTAACAAGAAGTTAGAGATCAGCTAGAATTTTACTTGCAGAGCATCCAGTTTTGAGATATATTTGATAATTCTTGCCTTATCTCGATGTATTAATTTTGATGGTCTTCCATCTGGATTCTTCTTTCCATAATTCATAGGGTCTATTATTATTTTATTTACATCAAGAAATTTATACAATAAAGCTTTTTGTCCTATAGTTTATTTCTTCATATGTATATTAACAATGTAGTTATATTTAAAGGACAATCACAGCACAGACTATAGGTTGACACACTGATATTCTTTTTTCTATATATATATTTTTTTCAAAATGTACATATCAGACTTAAGTCTCTCTTCAGTTGGAGTAAATGCTTTCACAGAGAAAAATTTTTCCACTTTGTTACATTATAAAAGAGAAAAAAATATTTTTTTAAAAACAAAAATTTACTTACATTATAGTACAGAACAAATATAAAAAAAGTGGTGTACATATTTCAGTAATTAAATTAAACATTTTAAAAAAATTAAACATTTTTATGGATGATCATAAGATGACCACAAACGAATTTTGAAAGCTGAAAACAATAATTTACATTATTCTTTCAATCACTATATCAGTGTATTTCTATTAATATTACCTGCTTGTTTTTGTTTTTACAAACAAAAACAAGCAGGCAATTGTAAAATAAAACAATTTTAATCGATGTAACTGTGAGGCTGTAATCTTATACACCAATATGATAAGTCCTATTAATAGAAATACACTGATATAGTGATTGAAAGAATAATTTTGATTAAATTAAGGACATAGATGCATATTAATTAATAATTTACATTGTTTTCTGTTTAACTGAGATGTAAGCTCTAAAGATATTGTTTTATGTTTAATTAACTGAGATGTAAGCTCTAAATACATCTCATTCTCTTCAAAAACTTGGAACAGGAATTGAGTTTTTGTAAGGGTATACTGCTCTCAATTTCCAACACCTACTCCTAAACTCTTCTCAGAACTAATTTGTTACCAACGTTCTCTATCATTGAAAAACGAATTTGGTGTTGTGAAAATGATAATTTTCACAACACCAAATTCGTTTTTGCTTTCAATGTTATGATTTATGATTTGTCATTGTTTGGCCATTAGAGATTATTAAGCATCTGTTTGCCCTGATATCATGTGATATCTCGTTATGATCATGTGTGATTAAAATGAAGATTTGTGTATCTTAATTTTCCTTAATATCGTGATTACTCATATTTTAATACATACTGTTAGAAATAAAAACACCTTCTTATTTCCAGTAAGGCAGCAGAGGCTTAAAGAGCATAAATACTCCATCACTAAGAACACGGATGGTACTGTACTCGCGGCTTTTGCTAAACAGCAGGATGTCAGCATTTATTGGGACAAAGCATCTATCGTTAGGGCCACGAACAACAAACAAGTGCTGAAATATCTTGAAAAGCTGGAAATCTACAAAGCCCACATTAACAAGGGCTGTATTAACCATAGAGATATGGATGGTTTATCCACTGCGTGGAAATCATTTTATCATAGCACATAATGGTTATCTCATAATAGGCATATATTTTATTATTGTGGCAATAATTCGTTTTTGTTTTATAGTTATTCCTATATGATTCGTATGCGCAATTTGTTTTATACTACGCGACTGCATTTTACGTTGGAATTAATTTGAATTTCTAAAAGTTTTTGTATTGCTTGTATTCTATTTTTAGCATTCCTTTTTGTTTGAATTTGTTTAACTGATGAAGGCTATTAAAAATAGTCAAAAATGTTATCATCTTATTAAATAATAGTTTTATTGCTGGAAATAATAAGGTGTTTTTATTTTTGATTCATTATCCAGCAAGTTCTTTATTTTATTGCATACTGTTAGATCAAGTACTGTATATATAATTTGGATTTTGTCTTTTTGGAATTTAATTGGATGAATGTATTTTGGATATTAATTTTGGACACCATTATATATTGTATTAGGCCCATTTATAAGAATTTTGAGTTTTCAAGTTTTACTGTTTGACTTAACACAATGCTGGTTATTTTTTCATAAAAACAATGTCTAAAAATGGAAGGGAGTGGTAAACAGTATAATATCTTAATGTTTATATTTGATATAGCCGAAATGGAAGAAAGAATAAGGAAAGAAGGCAAAAAAGTACCAATTCCAGACTTCGATCTTGACTCCTGGCTACGGAAACATACAGAAAAGAAACGGGTGGATAACGTGAAAGAGATGTCCAGTAGTTTCGAATTCCCTCCTAAGTTGCTTAGCATAGAAAATATGACACCTTCACTTATTCCGGCCAGACCCGAGGAATTTCTCAGTGATAATATTGCTGAATGGGAAAGCTGATATCAAAAGTATAGTTTCATTTTAAGAACATAGTTTTTATGTTGAAAACAAAAAACTACCATAAATATTTTCTTTATGTGAAATTTCAACATTTCTCTTACTACTAGTATTTTAATTTAATTATTTTTTTTTGAATTTTTGGAATGTTTTTTAAGTCTCCAAATTTTTTCAAAAATTTTTACCCGCGCAAAAAAATTTTATTGCGATTTTAATCAACCTTTAATGACGCGCGATTAACGCTTAATTGTTTTTTAATTTAATGGGATTTTTTTTATCAAATTTAATTAATCGTTCTAAAGTTGTGCACGGATTTTACTTCGGTAAAGTTATTTAAAGCTACTTTCTGATATCAAAAACGACCTCCGATAGTTTTTAATTTTTTTAATTAATAGATTTTATTATATATAAGTTTAATTAAGTCGGGGGGTCGGAAATCGCAATAAAAATTTTAATTTTTTAAAAATATTTAAAAATACACGGCCAACTAGTATTCACCCTACTATAAACTCATCGCCTCCCGAGACTTCTATGAGAATGTCCCGGGAAATCCGACTCCAGCTGTTCTCAAGTTCATCAGGCTGTGTAAACAATGACTCATCGGTGTCAAATTTCACAGAAAGGCGAGACAAAGGAAAATAAAATTTGAAGCTTTTTCTTCAAAATTAACGCATTTCTTTCGTTTTTTTCAGTTTTAAGTATTTTTTATGTTTAATTACATAAATTAGATGATCAGGAAAGATTATTTTAAGTATTTTATTGTTTAAGCAAAAATTATTTGCTTATTTATTGAATTGTTGGCTGTGTATGACCAACTGAAAACCTGTTTCGAATAGAAAAGCCATCTTAAGGATACAGCTATTGTATTTTCTGATATATTAATTAATAACTTTACAATCTAATATAGAATATTGGATCAATCTGTACTGTGTACTACATTTTTGTAAGTGTTTTTAAAATGTAGTACACAGTACTACATTTTAAAATCACTTGTTTTTGTAAGTTTGAAACATGTTCTGCATCACTAATAAGACCACTCTCTCATACAAAGGCTGACAGGGAAGCATGACGTTTGTAGTATGGGTAAATCATCTTGAGGATGCCGATTACCATGTTAACTATTATGTACCACTTGTCAGGTTATGCCATTTATCAGTAACAATGGAGCTGAGGAGCACTGTTCAACAAAAAGCATGATGCACATTTTTTAGAAGTGGTAATTTGGTGACCCTCACCCAGCCGAAGTTTTGAACCTATTTTAATGTTAGACATCACAGCAGAATTCTGAGCCAGAACACTATTCTGAAGTGAATCGAAAACCTGAGAACAATAGGTTCAGTATTGCCAAGGAAAGCTTGTAGAAATGAACTAATTGTTTGGACTTGTAAAAAGAGTGAACTGATGAGACAAACTGTGGATAATAGCCCTCATTGTTCAGTGGTAAGCTCTAAAAGATCAATTACACAGGAAATCCAAGCAATTTCTGCAAAACATGGTTCAGTGGGCAATGGTGAACTTCACAAAGCTACAGAAATGCATTAAATTAATAAGGATTGATACCAGTCGAACAACAATGTTTCTTGAAATTAATTGGCACTCTTACATTATTTTTCCAATATAAATAGAAATGCATGCCATTTAATAAAGTTTTTTTCTTAAACAAATAACTATGATTATTCTGAAAAATGTCATACTTTCCTGCCAGACTCTGTAAATGCCAGCTTATTTTGGCACTACATTGATTTGTATCATTTATATTTACATTAACTGTTACAAAAAAATAAGAAGCCTAAATAAAAACAATTCCTTCAATACTAAAAAAGTCTTTTTAAATATTCTTTTTAGGTTCTTAGAGCAAAATTAGTATTATATTTTGCAGTCTATAAGGGTATGCCCTTAGTGTACTGTACATTGTGTCAGAAAAACACGTTAGGTCATTGAACAGTGGTTTTTAATATACAGTGGTGCCTTGTATAACATACGCTGTGAATAACGGACTTTCTGTTTGGCCATTACATGACTCAAGCAACGGACAGGCTGCAAACAACGGTCTTTCTGCGAACAAGTGCGAATGATGTTTCCACACTTTTGCCATTGCCAATGACAATCTGCTATTTTTATAACATATTAGTATTATTAGAATATCTGAAGTACAGAGCTTCCATTGGGATTCGGATTGCTCCCTTGTTTATTATGTACAGTACATCACCTCAGTGCAGAGTATTTACATTTATTCAAGTGTTGTGCAAATCACAGCTTCTAAAAAAACAGAAAGGCGATTTCAATTGAAACAAAGAAGAAATCATCAGGAATGAAAGTTGACAAAAACTTCCTTGTCAAATGGGGAGAGGTTAAGGATTTTACCAACACTCACTGTCCAAACATAGCTGAGGCCAATAGGATCAATGATCTCTACAATGACAACATTGCCCGTCATTTTCGACAGGTGTTGAAGAAGAGAGAGAAACAGACCACCTTGGACATGCTTTTAAAGAAGCAAGCTGCCAAAAAACAAAGAATGGAACAAGAGGAGTTGACCCTGCAAACTCCGGCAGCCTCTCCTGAATCTGACTCCAATTAAAAAATAATAAAAAGAGACCTGCTGCAATGTATAAAAAGTCTGTATCTGTATGAATGTGTGAAGTAAGTGTTCCTCCACCACATCCTCACAACATCTGACTACCCGGCATAATTGGTGACTGCTCCATTTTCATTTTTTTCATGATACAGTACGGTTATTTTATGCTGCGAAACGAATTATATGTTTTAACATGTATTTCTATGAGAAAATGCGTTTCGTATAACAGACTTTTCACTTAACGGATGTGCACCTGGAATGGATTAAGTACGTTATATGAGGCACCACTGTATTACAATAAAAAAAAAAAAACTGAAAAAAAGCAAATATTAAGAAAATATAACATAACTGCATGAAATTAATAGGACCACAGAAATTATTTTTTAACCGAATACACACAGTAATGGTAATTTGAAGAATTATACAAATTATGCATATAATTGAAACAATGGGTGAAATGTTTGATTTTATTGTTTGTGATAATTTCATTATATTTTACATAATCTCCCAAAATAAGGTTATTTCCTAATATCAGGATTCACAGAGAATGTTCAACACATTTATGTAGTATGAGGATCTTGTCAGGTCCAAACCCTCACTGAAATTTGTGTTAAAAAACTTTTTAAAGGAAAAAAAAAAATAGAAGCTAGAAATAATTTTTTTGTATGGAAATGTGACACAAACTTTTAAACAACAGAAGGATGCAAGTCCTAAGATTGACCATCTCTACTTGGGGGATTGAATTAAACATTGATTTTGACCTCTCCCACGATCTAAGCTGATATCTCAGACATTTCCAACTGTAAATTTGATAAATGAAAATCTTAAATATTTGCCTGAAATTCATATTAAAATAATTATAAAAAATCAAAGAAAGTTGAAAAAATGAAAGCTGTCTTTGATTTTTTATAAGTATTGCTATTTGTTTGTTATATATATGTTTCAGTCAAAACCCGTTTTTAGTTAGAACGCGTTTTAACTAGTTGAAACTAGTTTCTATGAATGTCTTTGTTAAAACCCGTTTTGTCTAGTTAAAACTAGTTCTAACTCAAATTCATTTTTGACTAGCAGTAAATTCTAGTTTTAGCTAGACAAAACGGGTTTTAACAAAGACATCCAGTATAAACTAGTTTTATCTAGTTAAAACGCATCCTAACTAAAAACAGGTTTTAACTGCAACATATAGAGTGATTCGGGTTAAGATACCTAATTTTTGATATTTTCAAACGGTGACGTCACACATGTCGTGTATTTGTATGATGAATTGTCGGGCCAATATTGAGTGCAGAAAGCTGTAGTTGGCTACCGTTACTTAATTTTCTTCATCCGAGTTAGATAAGAACGAAGTTCTTGTTGTGAAATGTTTCTAGAATAATTTTAAACTAAAAGTTAAAATGGAATTTATTAAAAATTGCAAAAAACAATTATATGTGATGTAGTTGAGGTTCTAAAGTTTCTATTGTCAGCTACCGCCGATCCCGATCGGACATGCTGGAGCATGTGACTCTACTAGGCATCTTACCCCAACAAATGGAAAATATGCCACATTTTTCTTGGGGTAACGTGCCTATTTTTTGTTAATTGATTTCCAATATGATATTCCTATTTTTAATAAACTTTTGTTTTCTCGTTTTATTGCAGGATATGAATAGAAATTATATAAGGACTTCTCAAAAAAGTTTTTGGACTGAAAAAAGCTTTCAGCTAGCTATAGAACATGTTAGAACGGGTGGAAACTTAACAATACTTATACTGTGCTGTCATACTTACTATGAAGTACTTTGTACTACATATGCAATAAATTAAATTTGGTTAAGAAATTCAAAAATTAATTTTAAGCAATTATATTTGTTATCTTACCCTAATGGCATTTGGCATCTCACCCGGATACTTGGGGTGAGATGCCTAAAATGTCAGACAGTGAAAAAGTCGTCATTGCAAACACAGTATAGAATTTTTTAAAATAAACTCCAAACTTTTATTTGAAAGACATACTCCAGAATATGATATTTTCATTAGAGGGCTCCTAAACTCAAATTAGAGCTGAAATTTCCTTCATAAGCAAAATGTTAGGCATCTTCCGCCAAATCACTATACATAACTTTATTTATTTGCCCCAAACATATTTATGTAGCTAAAAGTAGTTTTAACTAATGTTAAAAGTTAAAACTAGTTTTATCTATAATCAAAACATGTACAGCAGTAAATTAACTAGACAAAACGGGTTTTGTCTAGTTAAAACTAGAATTTACTGTAGTCAAAACTGAATTTGAGTTAAAACTAGTTTTAACTAGACAAAACGGATTTTAACAAAGACATTCAGTATAAACTAGTTTCAACTAGACAAAACAGGTTTTAACAAACACATTCAGTAAAAACTAGTTTCAACTAGTTAAAACGCGTTCTAACTAAAAACGGGTTTTGACTAACATATATAACAAACAAATAGCAACAGGAATAAAGTAATATCAAGGACATGAAAGATTCTATACATTGCATTGTGAGTATAAGATTATTTTGCATGTGAATGTTTCTGCACAAATAAATGCAAAGTTGGATTAGACAATCAAATGAGTCAAATGCCATTTTCTCGTGCCACCAAACAACCAGGTACATACAGGTAATGCCAGCTTTGATTCTGACGTATTAACATCTCTGTATTTCCTCTTTCCATTATGTAATAGTCAACCAAGTTTATTTAAGCCCATTTTGTACACAATTATACAAACTTTTTTTATTAAAAACACTTTATTCACTTACAAAATACAAAAAACTTCATGTAAAATCAATTATGTAATTAGCTACATCATACTAATTAAGAAAATTTCATGATTTAAATAAAATTTATAAACAGACATTTGCGTTGTAAAATCAAATTTTCTTAAAGTGAGGAGGCGGTAAATTCAAAATTTAAAGAAAAGAAATCATGCACTCCACAAGAGGGAGAAATAGATTATCGCATATTTTGGCCCAGCAAGGATCTTTTCAAGGTCATTACATTTCTTCCCATCCTTCCCCAAAATTCATAATGGGAGCAGTGGAATTTTGGAGGAAAGTGGGTTATTGTTGATGTTTCTGAAAACCTGACTTTAACCAGATGTCATGCAGGTTAAAAAAATTGGGAGGGTTGTGTATGGGACACAATCACAATCGTTTAAGAAGCAAATCTGTCTTTGTGTTATTAGAGGAATGATAACATGTAAATGAATAAAGTCTTGCTGGTTATCACATTCCAAGTCAATATCTATTGGTTCATGCTGCCGGCAGCACACTCAAAGTATTCGTGTCAGAATCGACGCACTCTGTTTTCTTATGCTCTCTACACAATCTGCATTGTTTGGCATTAATCATTTTGGGCTTTTCTGATTCATTTTAAATTTTTTCTTTTCAATGATATACATTTCTTACATTTCTGTTTATATTTTCTTTTAAATTTCTTTGACACTATGAAAATTTTCTTCAATTTGCATAGCTATCAACTAATAACTTTATAAATGATTTTCTATTTTATCAGTTATTATTGCTAGATAATGTAGATCCTGTCATTCTGTACAAATTGACACCAATTCTGACGTCCTATCTCTTTGTGATCTAAAGTTCACTGCTCAAATGCCCTTTTCCGTGCTCATGCACAACTATTATCCTTCCTTCGCATGGCTGCATACCCCACTACCTACCATTTTAAATATGGATATAAACCTATCCATAAAATTTTAGATCATGATATCATCATTTATACTTTATGAGAAATAAGTGTGACAAACCATTTGTTTGGTTGCTCCAGTTTTTGTATACTTACCTATACTGAACCAAATTTAAAGACATGTTTGGATGAAAAGAGAGTGAGAGATGGACTCCACACTGTTTGTGGATTCCCTGACTTTCTAGGTCTGTACAGACCCTACAACAAGTAGTGATAGACATTAGACATTGCATGGTGTGACTTTTATCCCAGACTTCGCTGACACAATAGCATTTCCAAGGGATTCAAATGAAATGTGCCATTGTACACTCAACTAATTGTGCAATCTCATGGATTACTAATGTTGCTTAGCCATTCTTGGCCATTGGGATTATATTTACTATAGAGCGTTTACATGCTCTAAAGTTCTTTTGCATGTTTAACCTGTTCTGCATTGTTCCCTAAAATATTTGTGTTGACCTCATTTACCTGCGTCGGTGATCCTGAATATTTTCGTGTTTACATTGGAATGTTTTTGATACTAGATGTCGCTATGCATCACAATTTTTATATTAAAACGAACTTTTAAAATATAATTTTTTTTTGGTTTCTATATTTTTCAATGTATTTATTTTGTTTGTGCAACATAAAAAAATAATTCTTAACAACACAGTAAACATGATTATTATTTTTAAAAAATTTAGGCTTAACATTGACGAACAATGTTGATAAAAATTTCAACATTGAATAGGTTAAAGTGCCAACTTTGACCTTTAGTATCTCCATGGCAAATGAACCAATTTGATAGTTAGTGGCCATAATGAATACGTTGTCATCTGAAATTTTGAATGAATTCATTGGATTGTTTTGGACTTAGGCAATAGCATTTTGTTGGCGAGATTTAGAATGAGAGAGAATAGTGACATTAAGCTACTGAATCTAAAAGGAGTCTGCATATGTTTAATTGCTCGTGTGAGAGCTGACCGCCTCATATTAGCCCTTTTGAAAGTTTCATTGTAAAATATTGAATATTTATAAAATACTTGACAAATATGTTAAAATTTTAAAAAATGGTCTATCAGTTATCACATGGCATGACTTACTGCAAGCTATCACATGACTGTCAGATGAGTAAAGAATTATCATGAAAACTTTAATGAAATTACTAATGGCTGGAAAATACTTAAAATTCTGTAAAAAACTGGTGGAATCAGTTTGAAAAGTAAAGCTCAGCATAAACATCTAAACAAAGGAGACATTTGCAAGTTGTGGCATAAGAATACTGCAACCAGATTTGTCAGTAAGACTCAGCATGTGATTAAAGTGCACGTTACACAGACTACAACTAAAGGAAGTTTCGGATGAAACAATATCACCATGATAAATCAGGCAAACATGGTTACAGACAAAGGCTTTGAGATTTACTGTGTGCCTTAAAGTTGTTGCACCTACAATATTTTGGCAGAACATTAGTTAGAGCACCTTTGAGCAATATTAGTGAAGGAACTTTATTAGTTTCACAATTCTGTGCATAGCAGGGGAATACATTTTATGGTAATGTATCTATTCACATCACTAAATGGTAACTGAGTGGATAAAATCACTGAACACTAATAGTTGATTCCAGTTTTGTATCTAATAGACACCTGGAAAACTTGTAACCAGCCTGTTTTTTACTTCATATATAGTTTTACTCCATTCATCCTAGCCTGGTCAAAAAATTCTCTCCTTTATTCCCAATGTAAACTATTTATCTACGGCAAATTATTCTCATGAACGAATAAACCCTGGGAGCCAATCAACATACACAAATCTTTGCTAACAAGGGTGTAACCTATGAAAAAGTTTGGAAAAACCTTTTCAGTTATGACATTATTTTAATGTTAATTTGCTTTCTTGCATATTAAATTTAATGAAAATGTTGTGAGTAAAAATGGAAATAGAATAAAAATAAATTCTGATTCAAATTAGAATTTAAATTTAGTATTTAACAAAAACACATTTCTTTGACAATAAACTTCAACTAATGCAAAGTTTTAAATAATATAAATTTATTTATAAGATGGTAACAATGTTATTTTATACTTTTTATAATTTTTGCTACAATTTCATTGAATTTAACTTTAATACTGAATTAAGAATTTAAATAGGAATGATTGTTCTTGCAAGGGTTGCAATTTCTGTAGGAAAACTAAAAGTAATCCATTCTATGTACAAAAAAATACTGCAATAACTTAGTTGACATAAAAAGTAATTAGTCACATAGTCACACCACTTGTTTCTTTAATGAAATATTTATAGTTTAGAAGTCTAAAATTGTTATCAGTTGGGAAACTGGAATTACATGGCACGTATTTACATTATTAAACATCTAGTACATTTACTTACTGTACAATTCATTTCCATTAAATAGAAAACAAATATTTTGCAAAATTCTGTAAAAATACAATTCATTCCACTAAAACTTATTGGAAGTACTTTTTAATACAAATAAATTCATTATCTGTGTTCCAAATTAAATATCAGATGTAATTATCCTCAAACTATCTCAAAAACCAGATTCAACCCCTTTTAAGTACAGATTCTGGTAAATGACACAAACTAATGTAAAAAACTAGGCATATTCATATATCACAATTATTAAGAATTAACACATTATTTTTTCCTCAGACTTAATACTGAATGGAAGATGTCCAATTTAATGTATGAAGTGTACAGTTTTATTTTATAGTGCCTTTAACCTTACTTTATGTAAAATGGCTACTTTACAGTTTCTTAACAGAATTTCATTGTTGCAAATTCGTGGCAGTTAAACAGCATTTTAGTTCAGTTGGATTATTTACCACATGTGAGTTTCTCTTATTTCTCCTATGATCTGACTAGCTCTTTGTAATGCCTAAAGAAAAGTAAACAATATTGACTGTTAGATCATTTAATTTTGATCTTTCTAAATAAATAAATTTTAAAATATTTGTACCTTTAGCATATCGGATGCTTCTTTACGTCTTATGGCAATGTGTTCGGATTCCTGTAACAGATCTGTAAATTTGTCATGTTTATAAAGATGACTCACCAACTCGCTCTGTAAATTATCTTTAATAAAATTAACTAGAAAATGCATGATGGCTTTAGGCACTGAATCTTGAATGTTCTTGCGAACAATTAGAAAGTATGAGCGAATTAAACGTTCTGTAAATAAAAAGAATTATATTTTAATACATTACTAAGCTTATACCATATTTTATTTGTTACAAAACAGGTAGAAAAATATCACTAAATAAAATGACAGTGTTTCTTTTGAACAAAAACTTGTGCCAATTATTATTTAAATGTGCCCACTAATTTCCAAACCCATATCTTTAAATCACTAAGAAGATAAATGCTACTCATTATAAAGTTCTTTTCTTTATTTTAACTGTATAAAATGTTTTCCAAGCTTTGCTAGCTCATCATCAGACACTGCAAAACTCATTTGAACAAGAGTGTTCTTTTGTTCAAACAAGTAGCATTTATCTTTTTAAAGTGATTTGCTACATAACTGTAATATCAATAATAATAAATGACTAAATTCTGTCAACAAAAATTACTTCCAATTCTGAAGATAACCAAAAAAGTAAATTATGTAAAAACAATTTAATATAGTACAGTAGGTGATCGGTTAACAAACACTTTCGCAAAAGATTTTTATGTTCGGACAATGAACATCTCACAGAACAAACACAAGAAGCAGTGACGTAAAATAATGAATACCAATTGGTCTTCCCTTGTCTAGGCAACAATTTGAAACTTTTCGGAGCACAGGAGATGTCGACATTGATTGGACAGTATTCCTCTGAACCTTGAAATTCTCCCTTGTAATTCCAGCCTTGTATTTTTCTGACAGAAACAATTCTTTTATAGTATTCCCAAGATTGTTGGGCGGGCACTTGTTAAGTTTTGTGTCGGTTTTTATTTTCAAAGGTGAGAGTATAATATTTGTGCAAAGGTGGGCAGAAGATGCATGATGTTGCTGGGCAGTATGGCTTAAACAGATCTACAGTAGGCCACAGATCAATCTTATCTAAGAAAGATACTGTATAATCAAGAAGACTCAAGCAGCTAAAGGAGTAACAAAAATCACACCTGAGAAATAAAGAACATTGAAGAGTTCATAATGGAACCTGAAATGAATCTGACAACAGAAGAACAAGAACTCTTGAATGAAGAACACCAAAAAACTCTGCGAGATATGTTTTCTTCTGAAAAAGATTAATGCCACCATCTGCTATTTAAAAAGTATTATCTTTTGAAGAAGTGGGAGGATGTGAGAACAACAGTCTTAGAAATGCATCTAAACCAGTGTGAGATTAATAGGCTTGGGGATCTCTACAATTACAATGATATTAATTACTTCTGAAAATAAGGCTGAAGAAGAGAAAAAAAACAATTGACATTAGACAGATTCTTTAGCCCTCACAAATGGAAAAAACATGACTAATAAAAATGCAAGACTGTGTATATATTGTATTTTTATTATTACAAAGTCTTGAAATGGATTATGTTTGTTAACTGATCACCCACTGTAGTTTACATAATAACAATCCAAAATTTTTAAAAACTACTGTTCTTAATAAAATGAAAATTTATAATTAATGAATATTCTGAGTTTTCTGGAATAATTTATAATAATATATATTAGAAATCAAGTAAAACTGTATTTATGTTAAACAAAGATCCCTTTCTCATGTGTTACAAAAATTTACAACACTTTTCTAGAAAACTTATCTAGACTTTTTCTCATAATTTCTCATAAAAACGTCAAGGTTATTTATTTGCCACCAGACAACAGTAATTCTTCAACCACTGGACCAAGGCTTAATTGCAATGATCCAGGCACACTATCTGTGAACATTTAAAAGTATGACAGGCAATTGATACAATAGTGACAGTGAAGAAGTATTGGAAGTCCTATCACATTTGAAAACCATCATCAAGATTGTGTCTTCCTGAAAAGAATGAGCCGTTTGGATAGCATTTGGAGAAAATTGTAGTCAGATGCTGTTTTGCTATGCTAGCACAGAACCATTGGCAGAAGAAATCACAAACACGGCACATGATCTTGACCTTCCAAATGTTAATGCTCAGGAATTACTTGACAGTCATACTACACCATTTTCAAAAGACTTTGAAGCTGGTTTACAACTAGAACAGGCACCAGAAGTGAAACAATTTTCTACAGTTTCTGTAAGATAATTTTACCAAAATACATGAGGCTATAAATAACTTCTGTGCCAAAGTCCCTGACTGGGTGCACAGACTCCCACAATCTTCAGAAGTCAATGCCTTTCTTTACCCCTACTACAACATTTTTCAGGAAGAATGTGGAAAAACCCAGATGTGGCAGTCACAATGTTGACTAAGTTCCTATGAAAGCATAACATGCAGAACCATTGTTGAGAGAGCTTGTGGTGGAAGCAGATTCAGAGATCCCAAAGAGTGAATTTTAAATTTTACACTTGTTATTTTTACCACAGTATGTTTATGAAGAATGTGATAATAAATATCCTAAGTTTTATGCATATTTATGTAAAAAAGTAATTGAATTTGCATAAGTTTTTTCTCAATACCTTGCATTATAATTTTATCTCAATTTAGGATATTTTGATTTATGATCGCTTCTGACAAAATCTAATCTGTTGTTAATCGAGGGCTACCCATATAGAAGCGAAATGGAGAAATAGGAAGAACTACAGGACATTAAAAATTACTTACTTCAATTCCAAAAATTAGAATTTTTAATCAATCACAATAAAATGTCTGAATTGATTATTTATAAAGAATGAAAGAAAAAATTTGACAGAATAAAAACCCAAACAGATAAGATTAAGATAAAAGTTTGGTTTTGTAAGTAAAAGTCAGAAAAACAAGAAATTACTGTTAAAGAAATACACTAATGTTAGTAATATACTAATGGTTGTAATTTCCGTAATGCAACTGCTTAGTTTCTAGAATTATGATCCATATTCGTGAGGGGGGGAAAATCACCTGAAATTCATTGCTTTAATACTTTTCTTAAATCTAAAATCATAATATATTTTACATCATTATTACTGCAACTTGAAAAACTAATCTCACCTATAACTTCACAGTCCGTCTGTTCTCTAGGGGTAAGTTTTCGAGATGTGCTAGTTGGCTAATAAAGAAACATTATTTTAATTTCTACACACAAAAAGAAACATGATAGTTAATTAATCAAGCATTCAAAATATTTTTTGAAGTCATTATTTGAGTAAAATTATTTATTGTTTCATGTATACAGTAGAGCATCGATTATCAGAATGCTGATCAACCGAAAGTGTTCCAGTCAGACTGTGTCGTGCTGAATTGAACATTTTTGATACTAGATTAACTTTTAAAGTATAATTTTTTTTGTTTTTATATTTTTCAATATATTTATTTTGTTTGTACAAAATAAAGAAATAATTTTTATTTATGTAATATCTAAAAACTTTCATTGCCTGTTCAAAAACTATTTTGCTGTTAGCTTTAATTTGAACATGAAGAATTGTTTTAATCTTCTGAGAGAAATTCAATTATTTTCCGTAAGTATATTCTACCCCATTACCATAACTTACCTCATTTGCATAATAAAATCTGTGCATAATACACTTTTAGCACAATTAAAACAAAATAAAAAACTATTCCTTATTGCTGGATTAAAAACACTGTCTAGTGAAATGCAAGATACCATGTACTGTACAGTACATACCACCACTATTGCCTCAAATCCTTTAAGATTTGGGCAAGAAATTGTTATTGCAGTAATAATTTAAAATAAGATCATGCTGCAGAAAGTATAAAAATAATGTAGTTGTGCAAATGTAAAATTAATTCCATAATAAAATATTATTACTCAAGGTAATACGTAAGACTTAAGGCAATATCCACTTTTCTCCATAAATTAATTGTACAAATGAAAGAAGTGGTTAATGGTCCAAATTTGTATTAAACAATTCTATTGTATGTTTTCAGCCATTTCACTGTAGTTTAAGATCTTTTAAGTGACATTCCATTGTTTACCTGATGATAACTAATAGTAGTACAGTACATGCTTATATTATTTTTTGTACTTACTTTCATAATTTTTTATTTCAATAAAATAATTTTCTATTGAGTCAGTGTGTCTATTTAGAATGTATTACCACATTTTCACAGATTGTCCAGCATGTTGGTCTATCTGGGGGAGACCAAGAAATTAGATATTTCCGTGTGGTAAAAACCATTATTAAGTTTTCATTTAAAACCTTGAAACTGTTTCAATATTAAATTTAAAAAATTAAGCTTTAAAACTAGAAAAAATTTTATTTACCATAGAATTTGTTGGTGGAAGACGTCGCCTTAACAACTGTGTAACTACGTCAATTATACGTTCATGAAGTTTTGGAAAGCGCAACATTTCTTGCTATGTAAGAACAATTTAGTAAAATTAAATTTAATAAACTATATTAAAAATTTCATGTAACTAATTCAAATAATAAATATAGTTATAAAATATAAACAACAAAATAAAATTTGTAAGAATATTACATGAAATCATAAAAATATCAAAAGTCATAAAGTTAAAAATAAAGAAAGGAAAAAAAAAAACCAAAAATTAGTCTTATAAAAATTTTTAATACATATATATTGCATTAATATAGTTCCTTACAAAAAAATACTATATTTCTTGTATATACAGTCGACCCCCCTATAACACTGTTGATAATTCTGTTTTATATGAATTCCATTATGTACGAGTCACTTAGATTTTACAAATACATGAGCCATTCACAGCCCGGCACACACATTTGTAAAATCTAAGTGACTCACACAACATGGAATTTATCTAAAACGGAATTATCAACAGTGTTATGGGGGCATCGACTGTACTACAGGTATCCCTTGTACATGACATTCCTACAACATAGTTTTGTTCTAAGATTCAGGAATTGGGGAAATCCCTACATAAAATGTCAAATTTTAAGTACAAAACTGTCATTTGATATTTTTTCATTCAAGAAAGCATGCATATTGACTCATATTTGCCCATGGATTTTAGAATATTGAAATTTTCAATGTTGTTTCATACCTTTTGTCCAGTTTACTTTAATGAGAAGTGACTACAATTTTTATTCCTTGTTCTAGCCTCCAATTCTAGTTTCTTATAAACTGTGTTGCTGTTATTAGTGATAGTGTTCTAAATGAACCCAAAAGACTGTTGTTGTATTTTGTTTTTATAGATTAAATTAAAATAAAAGTTACAACATAAAAAGATTAAATTTTTAAAGATCTCTTAGGCAAATGCAAGCAAATGAAAATATCAGATTTTATGAAAAAAGCAGAGAAAAATCATGATGTTGATACTTCAGATTAAGAACAATAGTAACTTTGTATAATAGTGTTTATCAATGATGAAAAAATTAATATTAACATGCAATACTTTTGATGCAATTGTTAGTAAATTATTGATTACTTTAATAAACATATTTTTCTTAATTATGAAATAGAATATTATACTTTTGCTAACTTTTGGAACATAACCTTATGTTTTGTACTAATCCTTTGTTTCATATAGCAAGGACTTGCATAACATGGCACTTTTTTGGAACCTAACTACCCTGGTATATGGGGGATATCTGTTTTTTTTTTGTTTTTGTTTTTTTAAGTACTGATTCATTTTTTTTAGAATTATTTTATTAAACATTTAGAAGGTTTTATTTTATGAAAAATAAATAATAAATTAAATAGAAATTATATTTGAATTTTAAAAACAAAATACATATTCTAATAGCTAGAGTATATTTATTAATTTAATTTAATATATTATAAAGAATTATCAACTTCAAAATATGTAGTCTTTATAGTTTGAAATTTTTGTACTGCTAAAAAAAATATTAATTATGAAATAATTTTTATTTATGTAATATCTAAAAACTTTCATTGCCTGTTCAAAAACTATTTTGCTGTTAGCTTTAATTTGAACATGAAGAATTGTTTTAATCTTCTGAGAGAAATTCAATTATTTTCCGTAAGTATATTCTACCCCATTACCATAACTTACCTCATTTGCATAATAAAATCTGTGCATAATACACTTTTAGCACAATTAAAACAAAATAAAAAACTATTCCTTATTGCTGGATTAAAAACACTGTCTAGTGAAATGCAAGATACCATGTACTGTACAGTACATACCACCACTATTGCCTCAAATCCTTTAAGATTTGGGCAAGAAATTGTTATTGCAGTAATAATTTAAAATAAGATCATGCTGCAGAAAGTATAAAAATAATGTAGTTGTGCAAATGTAAAATTAATTCCATAATAAAATATTATTACTCAAGGTAATACGTAAGACTTAAGGCAATATCCACTTTTCTCCATAAATTAATTGTACAAATGAAAGAAGTGGTTAATGGTCCAAATTTGTATTAAACAATTCTATTGTATGTTTTCAGCCATTTCACTGTAGTTTAAGATCTTTTAAGTGACATTCCATTGTTTACCTGATGATAACTAATAGTAGTACAGTACATGCTTATATTATTTTTTGTACTTACTTTCATAATTTTTTATTTCAATAAAATAATTTTCTATTGAGTCAGTGTGTCTATTTAGAATGTATTACCACATTTTCACAGATTGTCCAGCATGTTGGTCTATCTGGGGGAGACCAAGAAATTAGATATTTCCGTGTGGTAAAAACCATTATTAAGTTTTCATTTAAAACCTTGAAACTGTTTCAATATTAAATTTAAAAAATTAAGCTTTAAAACTAGAAAAAATTTTATTTACCATAGAATTTGTTGGTGGAAGACGTCGCCTTAACAACTGTGTAACTACGTCAATTATACGTTCATGAAGTTTTGGAAAGCGCAACATTTCTTGCTATGTAAGAACAATTTAGTAAAATTAAATTTAATAAACTATATTAAAAATTTCATGTAACTAATTCAAATAATAAATATAGTTATAAAATATAAACAACAAAATAAAATTTGTAAGAATATTACATGAAATCATAAAAATATCAAAAGTCATAAAGTTAAAAATAAAGAAAGGAAAAAAAAAAACCAAAAATTAGTCTTATAAAAATTTTTATGCTATATAATAAGATTTTGAGACCTATTTTATAAATTATACATTCAAAAATTAAGGAAAAAAGAATATTCTAGAACTGCAGTGTTTAAATAGCAGATGATTTACTTTTATTATTTTATCTTTTAATGTCAATTGTATTCTATTATCATATTAGTTCATTCTTATCAATAATGAGTTAGGGTATTATAATTTAACACTTTTTACAAACCTGAACTTCTGTTCCACAATGTTGTATAATTCTTTGCATTTCCTCATGGACAAGCTCTACACATCTTAGACTGGGCTCCTCTAGGCGCCGTATTTGACGTTTTACAAGTAATTCAAAAGATACTTCAGGTACAAATAAAGCAGGTCTTGGTCCCTTAAAATAATTTCATAATGGTAATATCATCCTTATACATGCATCTAATTTTATATAAACTTTTACAACATTTAGTTAAATTTCAAGTATAGAATTTGAATTTGCTTATAAAAAATAATTCATCCATCAGACTTTTTATTTATATAAGTTAACTTAATAAACATGAGTGATGGAACATTTCAAAGTNGTGTCTTGAACCTGTAAATCATACTTTTCCTTTAGTGATTGAATCATGCTGTTCATCTATCTAATTCCTTTCAGGGAAAATTTTTGAATTGAAATAATGTGATCTCTGGTTTACATCAGAAGTTTGTATATGGTCAATCGGGGCCTCTTGACACTGGTCTTGATTTTCATCTCTCTAACTTCGTTCGAGATTAAGGAAAGAGAGAGACAGACAACAGAGGGAATTTATAGGTCTACAATTTTTTCAAATTGCAGCCCAATAATGTATAATTTTATTTTGTTACATAATATACAATAATTCCAGTTAACCAGGTTTTTAAAAAATTTTATAAACATTTGGGTTGCAGAACCATTACAAAGAAATACATTGGGTCATGTGAGAAAAGTTTGAAAAACACTGATCTAGACAATAATGCAATTTACTGAGGAATGGCTACAGAGACTGGACAAGAACTTGTTCTTAATAGCCACATTATTTAATTAATTAATTAAACAAAGAGGCCAAATGTTATTTGTCGAATTCTGTGAATTAGTATAATTGTGTTTTCAGGCTCCTGATAACTCCCACAATCATAGAACAGAATGTAAGCCTAATACATTATTACTGTGTGATTGCTATTAGACTCATTGGACTTCTTGATCAGTCAATGAGTGACTAATGGTTAATCTGACTGACCACATGTAAATTTTCCATTATATACTACATATGACACACCCTATATATACATACATATATATATTATATAATATTAAAAATATAGCATCACTTACTTTGTTCACTACTTTCTCAGTTGTAGAATCTGCAACATTTAGATTTGTAACATACTGAGCACTTGGATTTGAAATATTTTCTGTCTTTTTATTAGCTATTTTCCTGTTATCAAATACATCTGCTTTATTTGAACAAATGAAAGCAGCATCATGAAAATCTGGATGCTTAGTATTTATATATGATAATTCAATAGCAACTAAATTTTCTACCTACCAAAAAAAAAACATTTTAGAAAAAACATCATAAAAGTCATCATATAATATCTTAAATTTAAAATAATTCAAACATTGTAAATTTAAAACATTAAAAAAACAACTAATAATTATATTAAAATGTAGATATTTATATCTTTGCTAAGTCAAACTATAAACTTTATTGCATTACTGAAATGCTTTAATGTGTTGTAAAAGTAATCTTAATTCAGTAAAATAAAAATTATAAGTGATGAAATGAGATTTAAATAATAAAATTGTTATAATGTATGCAGCTAAGGAGCTGAAAATTGCACATTATCATAAAATATTAATTACGAATTTGACCATTTCTAGGGGAAAGCCATACAGTCTATATTCCAATGACAGATATTTTTTTTGTAAAAATATCTGTCATTGGAATTATGTATTTGAGCTAGAAACTGGAAATTTTTGAAATCAGTTAACCAGTTTTCAGATCAATTTCAAAGCCACAGAGCCACTTTAATACAACAAACATAATAGAATAGCATATTATATTAATAGTATATCACAATAGTATTTCATTTTATTAATAAAGTATAAAAACTAAATAAGCTCCTATTTCTATACAAAAATTTAAAAAATATATATCTATATTAATACATATATATTGCATTAATATAGTTCCTTACAAAAAAATACTATATTTCTTGTATATACAGTCGACCCCCCTATAACACTGTTGATAATTCTGTTTTATATGAATTCCATTATGTACGAGTCACTTAGATTTTACAAATACATGAGCCATTCACAGCCCGGCACACACATTTGTAAAATCTAAGTGACTCACACAACATGGAATTTATCTAAAACGGAATTATCAACAGTGTTATGGGGGCATCGACTGTACTACAGGTATCCCTTGTACATGACATTCCTACAACATAGTTTTGTTCTAAGATTCAGGAATTGGGGAAATCCCTACATAAAATGTCAAATTTTAAGTACAAAACTGTCATTTGATATTTTTTCATTCAAGAAAGCATGCATATTGACTCATATTTGCCCATGGATTTTAGAATATTGAAATTTTCAATGTTGTTTCATACCTTTTGTCCAGTTTACTTTAATGAGAAGTGACTACAATTTTTATTCCTTGTTCTAGCCTCCAATTCTAGTTTCTTATAAACTGTGTTGCTGTTATTAGTGATAGTGTTCTAAATGAACCCAAAAGACTGTTGTTGTATTTTGTTTTTATAGATTAAATTAAAATAAAAGTTACAACATAAAAAGATTAAATTTTTAAAGATCTCTTAGGCAAATGCAAGCAAATGAAAATATCAGATTTTATGAAAAAAGCAGAGAAAAATCATGATGTTGATACTTCAGATTAAGAACAATAGTAACTTTGTATAATAGTGTTTATCAATGATGAAAAAATTAATATTAACATGCAATACTTTTGATGCAATTGTTAGTAAATTATTGATTACTTTAATAAACATATTTTTCTTAATTATGAAATAGAATATTATACTTTTGCTAACTTTTGGAACATAACCTTATGTTTTGTACTAATCCTTTGTTTCATATAGCAAGGACTTGCATAACATGGCACTTTTTTGGAACCTAACTACCCTGGTATATGGGGGATATCTGTTTTTTTTTTGTTTTTGTTTTTTTAAGTACTGATTCATTTTTTTTAGAATTATTTTATTAAACATTTAGAAGGTTTTATTTTATGAAAAATAAATAATAAATTAAATAGAAATTATATTTGAATTTTAAAAACAAAATACATATTCTAATAGCTAGAGTATATTTATTAATTTAATTTAATATATTATAAAGAATTATCAACTTCAAAATATGTAGTCTTTATAGTTTGAAATTTTTGTACTGCTAAAAAAAATATTAATTATGAAATAATTTTTATTTATGTAATATCTAAAAACTTTCATTGCCTGTTCAAAAACTATTTTGCTGTTAGCTTTAATTTGAACATGAAGAATTGTTTTAATCTTCTGAGAGAAATTCAATTATTTTCCGTAAGTATATTCTACCCCATTACCATAACTTACCTCATTTGCATAATAAAATCTGTGCATAATACACTTTTAGCACAATTAAAACAAAATAAAAAACTATTCCTTATTGCTGGATTAAAAACACTGTCTAGTGAAATGCAAGATACCATGTACTGTACAGTACATACCACCACTATTGCCTCAAATCCTTTAAGATTTGGGCAAGAAATTGTTATTGCAGTAATAATTTAAAATAAGATCATGCTGCAGAAAGTATAAAAATAATGTAGTTGTGCAAATGTAAAATTAATTCCATAATAAAATATTATTACTCAAGGTAATACGTAAGACTTAAGGCAATATCCACTTTTCTCCATAAATTAATTGTACAAATGAAAGAAGTGGTTAATGGTCCAAATTTGTATTAAACAATTCTATTGTATGTTTTCAGCCATTTCACTGTAGTTTAAGATCTTTTAAGTGACATTCCATTGTTTACCTGATGATAACTAATAGTAGTACAGTACATGCTTATATTATTTTTTGTACTTACTTTCATAATTTTTTATTTCAATAAAATAATTTTCTATTGAGTCAGTGTGTCTATTTAGAATGTATTACCACATTTTCACAGATTGTCCAGCATGTTGGTCTATCTGGGGGAGACCAAGAAATTAGATATTTCCGTGTGGTAAAAACCATTATTAAGTTTTCATTTAAAACCTTGAAACTGTTTCAATATTAAATTTAAAAAATTAAGCTTTAAAACTAGAAAAAATTTTATTTACCATAGAATTTGTTGGTGGAAGACGTCGCCTTAACAACTGTGTAACTACGTCAATTATACGTTCATGAAGTTTTGGAAAGCGCAACATTTCTTGCTATGTAAGAACAATTTAGTAAAATTAAATTTAATAAACTATATTAAAAATTTCATGTAACTAATTCAAATAATAAATATAGTTATAAAATATAAACAACAAAATAAAATTTGTAAGAATATTACATGAAATCATAAAAATATCAAAAGTCATAAAGTTAAAAATAAAGAAAGGAAAAAAAAAAACCAAAAATTAGTCTTATAAAAATTTTTATGCTATATAATAAGATTTTGAGACCTATTTTATAAATTATACATTCAAAAATTAAGGAAAAAAGAATATTCTAGAACTGCAGTGTTTAAATAGCAGATGATTTACTTTTATTATTTTATCTTTTAATGTCAATTGTATTCTATTATCATATTAGTTCATTCTTATCAATAATGAGTTAGGGTATTATAATTTAACACTTTTTACAAACCTGAACTTCTGTTCCACAATGTTGTATAATTCTTTGCATTTCCTCATGGACAAGCTCTACACATCTTAGACTGGGCTCCTCTAGGCGCCGTATTTGACGTTTTACAAGTAATTCAAAAGATACTTCAGGTACAAATAAAGCAGGTCTTGGTCCCTTAAAATAATTTCATAATGGTAATATCATCCTTATACATGCATCTAATTTTATATAAACTTTTACAACATTTAGTTAAATTTCAAGTATAGAATTTGAATTTGCTTATAAAAAATAATTCATCCATCAGACTTTTTATTTATATAAGTTAACTTAATAAACATGAGTGATGGAACATTTCAAAGTTTGTGAAAAATTGACTTCACACAATGAAATTGTTTTGATTTCTGATGTAATGATTAACATGAAAATGTTATTAACATAACTCTCTAAATAAATTATGAGAGAGTCTACTTTAAGCATAGTTTTTTAGTATCTTAATATTTGAAAACAGCTATTTAAACTACCTAAATTTTAGATTAATTCAGATAGAATAACAAATATAGAACTGAAATTAAACTGTCAGTAAACTTTCTTGTGGGTCAAATTTTTATTTACTTACTTATTACCACCTGCTTATCATGAATTCAGTTATGCTGTAAATTGGACCGTTTATTTTGAAAGTGGTGTAAGTCCATTTTTTCTTCTTTCATGATATTTAAACATTTGCATTTTAGTTGATTCAAAAATATAAAGTGTACTAAGTTTGACAAAGTTTCTATGACTTTAGAAATATGTAAGTTGATTGCATAAAGACTTCTATGTGAATTTAACTAAACTAATATATTCTTTCTGGGCCATAAATGAACTTACACCACTTTCATAATTATTGAACTGTAAAATTCATTAAATTTCTATTATGTAAAACTTAACGTCACTTGAAACACATTGTTTTATTCCGATTTTTGTTCATATATAATAACAAGAAATAAAATAATATTGTTTATTCTGAACATTAAAAATATTTACTTATTGTTAAACTATTTTATGATAAGTTTATCATTATTATTATTATATTAGACACTGCTTTTCATTTAGGTTCATTACATGGATTTTTTTCCATTCCATCAAATTGTAGATTTGTTGGTAATATTTATAGTTTTACTCCTCTATTGTAAGGGGCTGTCTTTAAATGATGTCCACACTGAAAGGGAGGGAGGGGGTTAAGACAAGTCGGACACGGGGGTTAGTATAGTGGACATCCATTTATTTCATTAAATTTTATACATTATGCATTTTCTTCTTGTGTCGATTCCAGCCATCTTTGGACAAAGTACAAACAACTAATTATGACTTGCTTTTCCCTCTTTCCTTCCCTTTGTTCTTCTTCCTTTCTTTCCAATATCTCTTCATTCTCTCACTCTGCTGTTGTCTTTGCTCCTGAGTGAAGAGTCTTCCACATCTGTTATTTTCCTTTTCCTGAAAACCCTTGAAGTTCTTTTTTTGTTTCTAAATCTTTCCCTGTTCTGGATATCTTCTTCAGATATGCCCATTTCTGCCATGTCTTTTTGAGTGTCATTGATCCATTGATTCTTATTCTTTTGGTTGTTGAAATACGTAAAAATTTGTTTTGTTAGCCTATTTTCCCCCATTCTCTTTATATGTCCAAAGAAGCTTACTCACCTTCTCTGAATTGTATCAGAGAGTCTTGGGATTTTTTGATAAAGCTCTTTATTGCTCCTTAGCATGTAGTTACCACGTTAATCTATTTTTGGCCCCAGAATTTTTCAAAGGATCTTCCTCTCTTTTTCCTCCATATTTTCTATTTCCCCCATTTTAAGAGTAGCAATACCTTCTGCTACATAAAGTGCTTGAGGTGTTATAATGTGTTATAATGTCTAATTTTTGCATTGATGGAGATGATTTCTTGTTGTAAATGTCTTTGGAAAGTTGATAGGCAATTTCCAACTTCCATGTTCTGGCATAATTTGCTGCTTTAGACAACCCATTTGTTTCAATAATTTCTCCAAGATTTTGATCCTTTGTTAATTTCTCCAAAATAATCTGTTTTTAGTGATTTTGGGGCACCTGAAATATTTGTTATGTACTCTGTTTTGGACGTAGATATTTGTAAGCCTGCTTTCTTCGCAATTTTTCCTAGCAGGTTAATTTGGGTGATGGCTGAGTTCACATCCTTAGCCAAGGCCGCAAAATCATCTGCAAAAGCCAAACCATTGATTTTTACTCCTTTGTGTTTGGTTCCTAATTTAATTTGATTATTTATCCCAGCTTCTTGTAATGCTTTTTCCCATTCTCGAATGATCTTTTCTAGCACACAGTTAAAGAGTATGGGTGAGAGTCCATCTCCTTGCCGAACTCCAGTTTTGATTTCGAATGGCTCAGAAATTCCCCTAAGGAATTTTACTTTAGATTTAGTATTTGTAAGGGACTGTTTGATTAAATTTATAAGCTTATCATCTACACCAAATTCATTAAGTGTAGTGAACAAGGTTGGTCTATCAATGGAATCATATGCTTTTTTAAAATCTACAAAAGTGACAACATAGTTGCATTTCGTCATGGTATAATACCTAATTATAGATTTTAGACTGAAGATTTGTTCCATGCATGACCTTCCTTTGCAGAAACCCCCCCCTATTCCCCTATGTGAGCGTCAACTTGCTTTTCTAGTCTGGTTCTTATTACATCTGATAGAATTTTGTACGTTACTGAGAGAAGTGATATTCCTTGATAGTTATTTGTATCCATTCTGTCTCCTTTCTTGTGTAGTGGATGGATTAATGAATGGAATGAATGAAAACCTGATGAATGGAAATGTGCGTTAGCACATTTCCATTCATCAGGTTTTTCCACTCATCTATGCATTTTATTATATTTTCAAAGTTTCTTGTATGTTTCATTTCTACTTAGCATTCATAAAGTGATGAAGGTTTTAATGGGGATAAAGTTATGTTGGACATCCATAGAGGGAAAGGGGTTACAAAAACTTGGATAAACTGGGACAAGAGGGAGGAGTAAAAATTTCAAGAAAAATGCACATGTAATTTATGGACAGCCCAAGTGCTTAGACTGTAGAAAATGGACTTACACCACTTCCAAAATCAATGGTTATGCAATGTCATTTATCAATAAATTTTCAATTGATAAAAGCTTATGGTTATTTTAAAATGTTAAGTGTGAATTGTTTATAAATAAAAAGTTCACACTAAATTGTATGTATATTATGTGTTTTCTCAATTTTTTCCAAAAAATGGAATTACACCACTTTCAAAATAAACGGTCCAATTGATCACAATACACATCAGCCATTCTCCATCAATCTATGTACAGGTAGGCCTCCTACAATGCGGTAGATACGTTCTGTGAAAATACCACATTGTGGGAAATTGCGTTATAGGAGATACCAACTTAATACAAAAACTGGGATTTGGTTCTAAAAAGAGAAAAACTTGACGTTTGAATGGCGTTTTTTGAATTTTTCAAACCAGCCATTGCTAGCCATGAATTTAAATCCTTATTTCATCAGCCGACGACTGTCCCATTTGTTTTAAATAATCAAATATCTTTAAGGCTTTGTGTTTAACTGCACTTTTATTTTATTAAAGGCAACCGTTTCTTGTTTATATCTTCTACCCATAATATTAGCGCTTGTTCCATTTTTTTTTTTCATTATAGGTGCTCTCAGAGTAGCAACAATTTTCGCAAGAATAGATGATCCGGATGCAACTGAATTCCTAATCTTTTCTTCCTATTGCTTATTTGACCGAATAGTTGACTCATTTAAATTAAAATGCCTACCAATATTAGCTATCTGCTCTTGATTTTTAATTTGATCCAAAATTTCTATCTTTGTTTGAAGAGATATATTAATAAATTTCCTTTCTAACTTCCTTTCTAGCAGTCCTTTCTTTTCATTTGACATTGTTATGGCTAAAATTTTTTCAAGCAGTTTTATGGACAGTAAAAATCGCAAAAAATAACTTCCCTTCACTACGTTGTTAAAAATATACACCCAATAGAAGTTTATACTGTATTTTGGACCATTTTTGCGGTCCCCACCTATTGAAAGAGTATAAATTATTGAAAATTCAATGATATATTTGAGTGTTTATGGTAACTGATGCACATCTGTCTACATACCGGTCTTCCAATGAAACTTTCATGGGAATAACATGTCAACGTGGACAAACAGCTGTTTTCGGGGACATTTAGCTCTGTAGCATATTACATGATTCGTTGCGATTTTTCTGTTATGTGAAAGATAATTCGTTTCTAAATATTGTAAACCGTGTTGTAAGAAAATTTCCGCATTTTTCCAACCGCGTTGGAGCAAAAACGCGTTGTAGGAGGCCTACCTGTATATTTTTATAAGAACATTATGAAACATTTGGACTTGGCTTATGGACATTATATCTTAAATTAATTTTTAATATAAACTGTGAATGTATTTCTAAAAATTTTCTTTTAATAGTAGTTACAATATGAATAGTCTGTTTTATTTAATTTCATTTAATAATTTTATGATAGATAGTTTATGTAAAAATTATGTAAACATTAAAAAATGATGAGGCTATAATAATATAATTTTTCATTATAACTTTGTACTTTTTTTAACAATAGGACAGTGACTTTTTTTTATAATTTGGAATTGTCTATTTCCATAATATAACTCACCATAAAAGAAAATTACAAATTATTTGAGAGAAAATTCAAAAATCATTGAAATGAAATGATTCTGAACTTATTAAAACATTTGATTTTTGTGAGAACTAGACTTTTAGAGAATTAGGCTTTTCTGATTCATTTTAAATTTTTTATTTTCAATGATATACATTTCTGTTTGTATTTTCTTTGAAATTTCTTCGACATTATGAAAATTTTCTTCAATTTGCATAGCTATCAACTTATAACTTTATAAATGATTTTCTATTTTATCAGTTATTATTGCTAGATAATGTAGATCCTGTCATTCTGTACAAATTGACACCAATTCTGACGTCCTATCTCTTTGTGATCTAAAGTTCACTGCTCAAATGCCCTGCCACACCATGTNATAGCTATCAACTTATAACTTTATAAATGATTTTCTATTTTATCAGTTATTATTGCTAGATAATGTAGATCCTGTCATTCTGTACAAATTGACACCAATTCTGACGTCCTATCTCTTTGTGATCTAAAGTTCACTGCTCAAATGCCATGCCACACCATGTTCCATTTTCAGTGCACATTCACAACTATTACCCTTCCCTTGCATGGCTGCATACCTCCACTACCCACCATTTAAATACAGATATAAACCTATCCATCAAAATTTAAATCATGAGATCATCATTTATAATTTATAAGATATAAGTGTGACGAATCTTACCATTTGTTTGGTTGCTCCAGTTTTTGTAGACCTCCCTATACCAAACTGAATTTAAAGATGTGTTTGGATCAAAAAGGAGTGAGAATGACAGATGGACTCCATGATATTTGCAGATTCCCTGACTTTCCACAATTTTTTCTGTTAAAAATCTTAATCCCTGACTTTCCAGGTCTCTACTGACCCTGTATATTATAGTACCATATTATTTAAATGATATCCTGTCAGTGCTTACTGAATATTTTTTAACCCATTTATAAGTCAGAAAAAGATTTCTCTCCAAAGCAATAATAATGGATAATGCAAAAAAAATGTTTTAATTAAATTTTACATTTGGAAACATGCACTTTAGAACTAATGCAGCTTTATAAATATTAATTGTAATACTCTGTTTACTTTTTTTTAAAAAAAGATTAATATTAACCATTTTAAAGATTTAATTGAATCAATATCAATTTGAGAGATATTTATAAAAAATCTCTGAAATTATTCACATCACCCACCTATTACATCGAAATCAATAAATATCTTATGATACGTGAAGATACAATAGAACATTTTATTTCTTCTAATAAGATCTTTGCAAATGAAGTATTCACTTGAAGAGAATTAAGATTCTGAGCCAACAGTGTTGAAATTTCATTTTCATCATTAAAATTCTTTTTTACCAGTTTTAATATTACTTCATTAGAAGTTCAATAAGTCATTTTTTTACTTCTTTTTCTATATTTTAAATTCATCAGAGTTTTAATAAAATTCTCCAGTGACTTATGCCCATTAGAGCACTGTTTCCCAACCTTTTTTGTGCTATGCCCCACCTAAGCCTTTCTAAAATTCTTATGCCCTCCCCTAACATATACAGTGGCTATATGGTTAACTTAAACTTTGGACGAGTCCATTTCCGAATTGCCCTCCTTAACAATCGAATTGCCCCACGGAAAACAGTGCATTAGAGGGTGAGTGGATAAAACCACTGAACTATAGTTAATTGTGGGTTTACACCTCATCAACAGATGGGTTGGCCATATGGAGTTTTCTGGGTTTTCATCACACATATAACACCTAAATATAGACCAGTTTCCCTCACAGAAAGTCCTTATGGGAAGCACCTTCCATAGCAGATTGCCTATGTGCTGTGTTGCTTTGTTCCAATCCTATCCACCAATGACTTTAATAATGAAAGACTAGGGTGAACTCACAGAAAATGCTGAAAGTGCTTCTAATTCAAATTGTTAGGATATCAACAAGTCCAAATTATGTAATTATTATACATTTACTGATATATCTCTAAATCAATCACTAGATTTGGTGTGATAAATAATTAATATTTCCCTGAGAAGTGCTTTTGTATATTCACACTTGTGTATCTCTCATTTGTTTTAAACTTATTTTGATAGAGATTTATTGCATATGGCATGGGTGTCTCTTTTCTTCCCTGGTTATAAGCAATCATTTTTCATCATAGTAATTCTAATCAACATAAAGATTTATTTGAAGTGCTTGTCTTTATTCTTATACAATAAAGCATATAAAATCACAAAACCAATTGCTTAGTAAAAATTTCCATTTAATAAGTTAAAGATCTTGAGGTCCTGTTCAAACATGGGACCTCTGAGCAAGATTGTCACAAGTGGAGAAATATGGGTATCCCATTTGACCCAGAACTAGAAGCAGTAGTCTATTTAGTAGAAGCATACCAAAAAGGAAGAAATCCAAGCATACAATTTCAATCTGTAAAATATGTGTAGTTTTTTGGGATAGGCAAGGAGCTTTGCCTAATTGAACAACAATAAACTCAGCAGACTATTGCAAGACTTTGAAGAAACTGTGTTGTACAATCCTGAATAAAAGGAGTTGCATGCTTACTCACGGAGTTATTTTGCTTCATGACAATGCCACACATTGCAGCTCAAACTCAAGCCAACACAAGTCATTTGACTAGAAACAAATGGAACATTCCTTCTTAATATTACTTGAGTTTCATCTGTTCATATATCTGAAAAATTAATTGCTGATCAGCTTCTCTTCAATAATGATTATGACAAAGGAGCAATGCAAACATGGCTATCTTCACAAGCAATTGTTCTACAAGGAGTTACAGAGACTAGTACCCCCATTATGATAAATTCTTCAATAATGATGAAAACTGTAAAAATGTAGTTTAGAATAGCTGATAAAAATAAGATTTGTTGATAAATCTTATTTTTCATGAACTAACAATTTGTCAGTTTTTTTAGCCTAATAGTGCTTACTTTGTAAATGTGCTGATATATTGTTTAAATTATATTTATACTTACAGTTGCATTTCTTATAGCTGTTAATATGTCAAGTGTAGTTAAACCTCCTAAAGGATCAATATGATCTAATGTACGGCCAAATGTTTCATGAAATATGTAACATATTCTTGCACCTCCACACAATTCAGTTGTTTCAATATTTCTAGCAGTACCTTCAATTGTGCTGCAATATGCTGAAGCAAATTTTGTAATAATTTGCAAGAGTGTTTGACCCTATTTTAAATAAAAACAACATTACTAAATATTATTTAAGGAATAATTATTATATATTTAAATTATATTTGACTAGAACAATTATCTTAAAATTTATTAAGAGGAGGATCAGAAATATCATCTGGAATGCCACATAAATGGAAGCATTTTAACCATCAGATGGCTAATGATATATTTTTTTTTTTATAGAATATCTGTATAATTGAGTCAAAACTTTATTTCATTCTAGCTTAAAATTGGATGGAAATAAGATCAAATTCATCCAACTTTCCAACTAATATGGGTTATTTACTTCCAAGTAAATAATAACCTGTATTGGTTGGAAAAGTAAAGAAACAAACAAGAAAAATTATATATATGCAACATTAAAAACATTAGTTTTTAATTAACATTAACATTAACATTAAAAACATTAGTTTTTAATGTTGCATATATATAATTTTTCTTGTTTGTTTCTTGTTATTATATATTATATAATATATATAATATAAATAATGTCAAACTGGATCAGGGTACTTTAATGGTATATTGGTATTCTCTATCCAGTCTGAGAGAATTAATTACTTGTTAGAGTTAAGATTATTTGTTTATAGTCAAATATTAAAATTATTTTAAAATTAATCTACATTATAGTGAAAATGTAATACCTTATCTTCGACATTCTCTCCATAAGAATTCATTACAGATTGAAACTGTGAAATCATGACATTGACTCTGGTTTTTAATTCTGGTAAACAATCTCTTATATGATGCATGAGAAGCTGAAAAAAATTTGTATTTAATATTAGAAAATGTAATTTATTTTTAAATTAATTGATGTTAGTTAGCCATATAATACATAAACACAAAAAATAACCAAATAAGTTTCTGAAGTTCTATAAAATTACTAATCAGTTTCAAATACAGTTATTCAAGTGTGTTTACTTTATGAATTTAAACTTGGGACAAATGCTGCACAAACTTCTCAAAAGATATGCATAGCATTCAGAGAAGGATGGTTAATAAATGCACAACTAAAAAATGGTATAAAAAATTTGCTTCAGGACATGAACCTCTTGAAGATGCACCCCACACAAAGGATGGCCAACAGTCATTGATGATGACAAATTTAAAATTAAAGAATGCTATTAAATCAGATTTGAGTCAAACATGTGGACTTGCAGAAAGATATGGTGGGAGAAACAAAACTAGACATTTGCACTTGCATTGACTAAGAAAAGTACTGTACATAAATTATGCAAATTGGTCCTATATGAATTCAAAGCAGAAAACAAATTCCAGAGATTTTCAATTTGCTTCTCTCTTCTTTCTTGTCATAACAACAAACGATTTTTGAACAGACTGCTAACATGTGATGAAAAATGAATTATTTACTGCAATATTAAGCAATCTTATCATTGGCTACATTCCAGAATGTGGTCTTCAAGATAACCTTATACTTCAATAGTGATTCAGAAAAAGCTCCCTAGCCTTTCTTGGGAAATTCTATTTCATCTTTTCTTGTCACTTGATAATTGTGTGTAACAAACTATTTCAAAATTGAGAGGGATTAGGGGCTGTTCATAAATGACACTCATACTGGAAGGGAGGGAGGGGAGGTTGAGCTTTAATGGATGTCCGTTTATGTCATTAAATTTTATACAGTTTATGTATTTTATTACATTTATTTCAAAATTTCTTGTATGTTTCATTTCTACTTATGGTATCTATCATTCATAAAATGCTAAAGGTTTTAAGGGAAAGTTGAATTTTGTTGGCCATCCAAAGAGGGGAGGGATTTAAACTTGGACAAACTGGGACAAGAGAGGAGGAGGAACTAAAAATTTCAAGAGGAATGCAGTTGTAATTTATGGAGATCACCTTAGAATGACTGAAATGACAAAAAAGAAACTGAATGACTTTTTTGATTTTAAAGACAATTTTTTTTGAGTGAGAATTTTTAAAGTTGTTTCTCATTGGAAAATTTATTAATTGAGAGAGGCTAATTATTTTTAAGAATAAAATATCCTTATTTTATTTTTATGAATGTTTTAATTTTCTTGAAAATCTCTACAAACTCTCTTGGTTACCTGATGATAATTCAGAAAACACTCACTCAGATTTATTTCATCTAAAAATATATTTTAAAAAAATTGAATTTTATGATTTAAAACATGGCACCAAAAAATAATTTTGTAAATTTATAAATAAATAACATTTTAATGCTTAGCAGAAAATTATTATATTTAAAATTATTGAAAATAATATATTAATTTTGATAAAGTCATTTCTATTATTTAACTAAAAATAATGACAATTTACTGCAAAAAATTTCAAAAACTTTTCATTTTTGTGATTATGCTTAGCATAGAAAAACTATTTCCTTATTTAATAATTAAAAATTCAATAATTAATTTAAATCTGAAAATATTAACATTAATGCCTAATACGAATAATCACAAAACATATTTAATTATATTTGAATGAAAATAATTTAATTTCAGGTATTGTTAAGATAATTATACAAATTTAGCAACTCAAACTATAGTTGAAGTCCATTTGAAAGTTATATAGGGGAAAAAATTTAACTTTAAGAAGAAAATTTAAAAATAATATATTTTAAACATGCTATAGTTTTTATCTATTTTAAGTCTACAGTACTCTTACATTTATACAATAATCATACTTTGGTAATGAAATTTTAGTAAAATGTTTTAAAAAGAGAAAAAATTAATTATAAACAGTAATTTAATAAATTCAATTATTTGTAGTAGAGTCAAAAATAAATAAAACTTTTGATGAATTTTCTAATGATAGCTGTTTTATCTGTTGATTAAGTAACTCAGTCTCTTCAATCCGAAAAATTCTTTGGTAGACACCTCACAGCCAATTCAGATTATAAAACTCCGTTATTGTTTTTTACAGATGCATTTTGAGCTAGGTTAAACTTTCTAGCTCCTCTTCAGTGCTACAAAATAAATTTCAATTATTAAATTGACAAAAAACAACACAAGTAGATAATGCTTACAAAACAATAAAAACACATTTCATAATATTCTAAGGGTCTCCATAGGTTTCAATGACTTATTTTTCACACTTATACAGTACCTTTTTTCCCGTTTACAATATTTTCACCATCTTAAAAATTACTTTAAGGGCGTGTTTCGTGTTACATCGAGAGAATGTACATCTTGCTACACAAGTAATTATAAATTATAACACTTAGTAACATTTTACAATAATATTTAAAAAACTTTAAAACAAAAATATAAATATACATACAGGTTTCTTTCTAATTAAAAGCATATTTTCAAAATTTAGCAATATATGTTGTATAATCTTTGAACACCTTTATCATACTAAACAATATTTCATACGTGACAATGTATAATCCTTATGATATGATTTTTTAATTTCGATTAAATCTTTAATCAACTACAGGGGTGGTCTGCATCTCACATTATTAAAAATCAATAAGTAATCATCCACATATCTCATTACAGCTTAACACCAGGAATGTTTTGTACTTTTTTTATCTATATCTTTCATTATGTGAGATCCGGAATTTTTGTGATGGAAATCCCGCTCTTTTATTAACAAAAATGTTAATTAATTAAACTTTCGTTTATGTAACGCCCTAGAAGAAAAAACGATTTTTAGCCGGGATTGTGTAAACTTTCTGGTATAACTAGCAACATCCATTGTTCTTTGCAGAACTTGCATCTCGTCTTGCAAGAAGGTTTACAGTTAGCATCTAAATGTCGTCATTTGTTTTAGATCCCAGGAACACCTATAACCTTTAACTCATGAACATCCGATCACGTGGTGGAAATTCCCCACTGAAACCTATAAAAGGCCGTTCTTACCCCCTCTCAGGGGGTCTACGAATGAATGCAGGACTAACGACATCGCGTCGATCTTCCGAACCCGCCAAATTCCAATCTCCGATGAACCTCGAATTAAATTGTCGCAAAAGTCGTGATTATATGTAATCTGTGCCGAAACTGGATTATAACTACTTATTCCCTTGGATCGATATTTAAAGGCATCCACGTTCAGAATCGTCAAGGGGATGGCTATACAGAGGTATGAAAGAACTGTGAAACTCTCTCTAGGTCGGTATAGAAACGAACTGTGTGTAGTCTTTTGTCATTTTGCTTATTTCTAATAAATTGTTATTTTATTTGTTATAAATATGGTAGACTCCTTTACTCGATCACGTCCTTCACCTTATCGTTGACCCCACATTCTCTCCATCCACTCGCCTGACATTTGAGAATCAATTAGACGTCCTGACAAGTGAACGGGAGCCTTACACCCCGTATTCACAATTACTAGTTCAGCTAATTTTATCCTCATCTTTGACCCCATGCTAACACCATCTGTTTGTCTATAAAAATTATTACAAACTTCAAAATAATTTCTTTTATATATATTTTTATTGTTTTGTAAGCATTATCAACTCGTGTTGTTTTTTGTCAATTTAATAATTGAAATTTATTTTGTAGCACTGAAGAGGAGCTAGAAAGTTAACCTAGATCGAAATGCATCTGTAAAAAAACAATAAAGGAGTTTTATAACCTGAATTGGATGTAAGGTAGTCTACTGAAGAATTTTTCGGATTGAAGAGATGTTTATTTAATCAAAACTTTTGATGTCTAGCAACAATCATAACTGCAATAAACACATGTGCGTTCACACATTTTCTTAGATGTGTCAACACTTGTTCAACACAGCACATGTCTGAAAGTAGATGCCAATATTTAGATGGATTATATCATCATTGTCAAACAACATGCACACCCTGAGTTCTGAAACAACATACCACAAGCAGCAAATCAATATTAAAATCTGTATCAAATTTACGTATTTTAAAGAATAGCTAGCTTTGGATTAAAAAAAAATTTCCCAATGTTGTTAAGAAATCAAGGGAGACTGTATACAATCAGCACACTATCTAGTCTACATTCTGGAAAATTTGCATGCACATTTGGGAATTCTGTAATGACATTCTTTATGACAATTTGAATATGTATTGTACATTAAGACCCCGCTTAACGCTAATTCGATATAATGCCGTCTGCCTGAAGCCTAAAAAATAGCTCAAAATTTATGCTGATTTAAATTATCGCAGCATTTTGTTGATTCGTACATAATACGATTATTGACAAACACGAACCAATTAGAAAAAGGTGGCAAAAACGTGTACTTTCTTTAAATTTATGTTTGTTTGGTGCAATTTTGGAAAAAATACACATCATGGATGCCATAGGAAATATTGACTTCACTTAGCAAGAATAAATGCACGGAGGAAATGTGGAAGAAGTTATGGCTGAAGGTATATAAGAATTCTCAACGAGAAGAGCCTATTGCTATATCGTTAGGTTGATCAAACTCAACCTAATCGATGTAGCAAGACTAGGAGATGCAGATGAACAGGATATTGAGAAGTTACTGCACAGGTTTCTGATGAGTGTCTTATCAACAATGACCTTCAAGAACTGGCAGAACAAGGATTCCATGTAAAACTGGAAAATAATGATTCTGAAAATGAAAAACCCAAAAAATCTCTCTACAGATTTCCTTAGTAAAAGTTTGGTATCGATAACTAAAACTGTTGATCAAATTGTAGTGAATGATCTAGATTTTGAAAGGACTACAAAAGCAAAATGAGGCGTTTTGGATGTGATCTTCTGCTACCGACATTTGCTTAAGGAAAGAGAAAAGCAACAAATGAAACTTCATGAGTTTATTGCAAAAATAAAAAAAAAAAAAAAAAAAAAAAAAAAATTTATTCNAAAAATGAACTATTAATATAGAAAAAATGAACTAATTAATATATTATTATACATTTCTGTGTGCATATGTTTATGTGTTATTTAACATATACAGTAGAGCATCGTTTATATGAAAGCCGAAACGTCGGTTAACCGAAAGCATTCCAGTCAGCAAATTTAAGTTTCTGCTAGTGCTGTGGCGCTGCAACCTTTGGCTATGTTTTGGGCTACTCCAATATTTTTTATGTTGGTGTGTTTTTTAGCTGGCAGCACTGGCACTCTTGTGTAATGTTTTTCTGAGGACTGTGTGTCATGCTGAATCAAACATTTTTGATACTAGATTAACTTCTAAAGTTTTTTTTGTTTTTATATTTTTCAATAAATTTATTTTGTTTGTACAAAATAAAGAAATAATTTTTAACAATACAATAGCCATGATTATTATTATAAAAATTTTCGTTAGTTTTAACATCAACGAAAATTCAACGCAAAGCGACACACAATGGAGAAAAATTTCAACATGGGATAGGTTAATATATTTTTTCGCACATAATCCGTTATCCGAACAACCCCAGTCCTCAATTGGTTTGGATAAACGACACTCTACTGTATTATTATACAAATTAATATAAAAATAACTTAAAATTAAAGTAAAGTTTTTAATCTTCAGCTCTATCCCTATTTACTCTGTTAAAATGACCTTGTTTAGTGCTTTGTCATCTTACTGTATATGTTCTCATATTCTTCTGAAGAAGTTAACAGATGTCTAATGTAAGCATGTACTCAGTGGAGAACTGATGAAAGTTTATAAAAATTCAGACATCCTACAATGATTATTAATGATAAAACTATGTTTCTTGTATGACTCACAGAAGAAACTCACCTCATTGACATAGGAAATTAAGCTTTTACCAACAGAGAAAATTTTTTCTCAGGAGATCCAAGGAAAAGATAATTCTTGTGGATTTTTGATATAAAAGGCTTGATGCATTAAAAGTTTGTTTGAAGTAGATCCAGTAACAAAGAGTACTACATTGAATTATATTTTTGGACATTTTTGATACTTTAAGGCAAAAATTGCCTCATCTTGGCAAGCAAAACCTAGATTCACTCCGATTTACTTTATTAAAACTGTAAAATAAATTTGTATAAGTGTCAACAGAAAATCTAAAAATTAGGATTGCAAACATTTGATAGGAAATAATTAATGGCATTGAGGATACTTTAAAGCAATCAAAAAAGTGGCATTTCATATATTAAACTAACTGAAATTAAAAATTTAGTATAGAAATAGCGTGTTATTAAATTTTATAAATAAATAAATATTTATTTGATATTTTACTAAATCATCCTGAAAATGATTTAAACTATCAACAATCTAAACTATTATCACGAAAATGATAGTTTATGTAATCATCCTGAGTAAAGTATAAACAATTTTGAGGTGAAAGATGTCACATAATTGTGCAAATCCAAGTTTCCTCTGAATCACATTTTATATTATATGCAGTCTATTTTTCAAGTACATAAGAACTTAATACCTTGGTTTTTGTTGACTTAGGTTATCATCGATTTTTTCTGTGAAATATTTGTCTCAGGTTTCATTGGTGTGCCCACGTGACTTTGCTGCTAATTTTGCAAAAACAAAGGGTGACCCACGCATTTTCCTGCTCAGTGTAGCATTGTTTCTCACTGTGTCAGCATTACCCCGCACATCTAACCAAACAATTCCATTGTTTTCCTTTCCTTTTAGCTCCACCATGGGACCAAAGAAGGTTTCCAAAGACAGCAGCCCTTTGAAGAAGGCCAGGAACATGATTGAGTTGAAGAAAATCATTGAAAAAATACAAGAGTGGCATTAAGATTGCTAAAATCAGCCACATGTATGGGAAGTTTCCATCCACAATAAGTTCCATTGTGGTAAAAAAGAAAACAATAAAGGAGGATAATACAACAAAAGGCATGAATGTGCAAACAAAACAGAAATTGCAAACAATTGTTGTCTAACAGTTATTATTAATTTGGATCAATCAAAACCAGGGCTCACCAGTGGCCAAGCTGTTCCTTTCCCTGAACACTGGAAATTTGAACATGGGTTTGCACAGGCTGGCCAAGTGGAGTTTTTTGGATTTTCTCCATGTCAGTAACACCTAAATAGGGGCCAGTACCCTTAAAAAGACCTCCTGGAAGGCATTTCCCTTAAGCAGATCACCAAATGTTGCATTGCTGTAACTTAACAAAACAAACAAACAATCAAAACCAGGTTCTGTTCAATGGCAATTCTGTTTCAGTAATCATCATATTAGTCTTTTTATGTTAATTTTATATTATTTTCTTATTGTTTTTAGTAATAAAACACTATATTTATTCTCTATAAAATGTGTTTTTGGTATGTATTTTGAAGTGTGTAGAACAAATTAGTTGGATTTACATTGATTCATATGGAAATAATTTCATCTGTTTTGGATTTTGCCAATTATTATCAAACAGATTATTGAAGAAAACAAAGGTATCACTGTATAATTTTAGAAAATTATGCAATATAGTGCATTATTAATATAGATAGTAAATTAACTTACCCTATTTAAAGTCTTTGCTAAATATGATGTTCCATTTCTTGCAGCTAATGATGGATATTTTCTCTGAAGAAATGAAGTTTCATCTTTTAAAGCATCTTCAATTGTCTGAAAACAAACTAATTATTAATTTTATAAAATTATTGAAATCCTGAAAAAATTTAAAAAACAAAAAATAAATTTTAAGTTAAAATTTTCTGTACTTGTTAAATTTAAGTATTTGATTTATTAAATTAATGTTCGCAAATCACACCTGAATTCAAAATTTCCAGCAAATAAAAGTCAAAAACACATATTGAACGTTTTCGGCCACTAAATTTATCTGTCTTCCTCAGGAAATACCAACTGGAAAAACCATTCTATAAATAGAACTTAGCTGCCTTTTAAATTTTTTAAAAGAACGAAAACGGCTGTGACGTATCGTGTATAATGTATGACTATCTAGACTCATAATATATGTCATACACGATACGTCACAGCCGTTTTCGTTCTTTTAAAAAATTTAAAAGGCAGCTAAGTTCTATTTATAAAATGGTTTTTCCAGTTGGTATTTCCTGAGGAAGACAGATAAATTTAGTGGCCAAAAACGTTCAATATGTGTTTTTAATTTTTATTTGCTGGAAATTTTGAATTTAGGAGTGATTTGCAAATACAGTATTACAGTTCCAGTTTATGGTGAGGTTGTATTTAGTTTAAATTAATGACAAATAATGAAACACCAAGATTTCATATTTATGTAAAAATTTCTAAAAAATAACCTCCAACACTAAAATTCAAGTGAAGTATTAAAATTAACCACTCAACAGTAAGGGATGGATATATCTGTCCAGGGTGATCACATGGCAGTGGTGAGGGACGGATATATCCGTTAAATTCTTTTAGGGGTATCACCAAAAACTACCGCAAAAAAAAATTCACATAAAAAATGAATTATGTAACAATAAAAAAGATTTTTCTTTACTAGACATAACTGTTTACAAAATTTTTTTTCCAAAATGGTAATGAGAAAAAACATGTGGAAAAATACTTTAAAAATTTCCGTTTATTCTCCACTACTTTCGGGTAGCACCATACCTGACTATCCCACTGCTGAAAGATTAAGCACTGGTGAGGCTCTGGCCTTCACTAAAGTTCACATTAAAATATTTTAGAACGAAAAGGAGGAATATTTTTCTGTATGAAAAATCATGATGCAAACATGTAAATAATGTAAGAATGTACAACTCCAAAAACAAGCACAACTCCAGACAACATCGAATGAGTGCAACAGATGCTTGCAGATGATCGGCACCTGTCTTTGAGAAGGATAGCAGAAGATTTGAAGATAAGCAAGGACAGTGTGAGCCCTTGACAGGTGTGGATCATCCGCAAGAATCTGTGGCACTTGTTTGATGTTGTCTGCAGTTGTGCTTGTTGACGTTTGACCAAAACGCAGCTCATTGTTGACATCTTCCTTTCCGTCTCTGAAGCGTTTAAACCAGTGTTTCTCAACCTCTAACGAATCGTCGCCCCCTTCAATAAAACCGTTACGTAGTATCACTCCCTTCACTACAAAATTTCGATGCCGAGGGACAAGGCTAACGCCAAATTCGCCTTTCATTGAATGGACTAGTGACTAGTATAATACAAATAAATTCACTATTTATCACACCGGAACTACTAAAAAATTTACACACCTGAACCATTTACGGTGTGATCACGCAAAAAATCGGTAAACAAACGTTTTCGAACCCCTTCTGGGTTCTGTTTCAGGTTCCAATCAGTTTCTATAAAGACATTCGATATCCGTTAGAAGTAGAAATTCGTTCGATCATGACTAGTATAATGTTATTTGTTTAATTATTGTATGATATAACGAATAAAATATCTAATTATTCTTAATATAATGTTTTACTATAACACTCAGAAAATTGGTTTTTGCCTTCAAAATATAAATTGTTACTAATCGCCCCCTTAACATGGAAAAACGCCCACATGGGGGCAATATCGCCCCCGTTGAGAAACACTGGTTTAAACCATTCAAAAACACACTTTTTACTCACTGTTTCCACACCATACACTTTCACTAACATTTCATGTGTCTGTGTCGCCGTTTTGCCTAATTTGAAGCAAAACTTGATATTCATGCGTTGCTCCATTTCACAGTGACACTCCTTCTCACACTGACTGTGTTGCATTGTTTGTTGAGCGCACTTCCGTTTAACTGTCGTGATTTCGATGCTAGGGGCCACTAGTTGGCAAGTCTCTCATTACGTCTGCGTGAGTGCAACATCCTAATCAGCGTGGTTATTCAACTATGGTACCATTCACCGAACTTTTCAGATGCATCTTATTTGTAAAATAGAATATGTTATGTAAAATTAATTACTACAACAACCTTTCAAATGTTTCAGTTTTATATTCTATTAACCTACTCCCTGGTATTCCTGACATATCTCAGGTTGCAACCTAATGACCTTGAACTGTGGACCAGAGAGATCTTGTTTCAGCATCAAAACATTTTTGAAACAAGATGTTGCTAATCGTTATAATTTTTATATTAAAACTAACTTCTGAAATATATTTTTTTTTGTTTTTACATTTATTAATATATTTATTTTGTTTGTGCAAAATAAAAAAAAATAATTTTGGACAATACAATTATTTTTTTCAAAAATGTGTAATTGTCGTTAGGCTTAACATTGACAAAAATTCAACATGGCATGACACACAATGGAGAAAAATTTCAACATGGAATAAGTTAACTTTATCCTCAAAAAAATATTAACATAAATTAGTATATAAAAATATTAATTTTTAAACTCAAACTTTTAATTAGTATAGAGAGCAATTTCCATATGAACTTAATCTAAAACTGCTGCTTTTCCTGAGTTCACATTTTTATTCTAATGATTTGGATTCTTACAATCATCTTAAAGGACATTAACAGTCACCATTTAAAAGAAAATTCATTAAACATTACACCTCAAGAAATTTTTATTAGATAGAGTTAAATATTGTTATTTTATATTCTTGAATGTGTGATTTTTTATTTTGTTTGTTAATGCCTCTGAAGATAAGTTTTAACAACTTGAAAATGCTCAAATAATAAAAAATGTGAACTCTGGAAAAGCAAATTTGATTGAACTTTTAATATCTTAACATTAAATCAGTCTGAAAAACAAAAGTTTACAGCAAATACCTTTTTATCATTAATGTCTTGCTGAGATCTGTTTACTATTCCAATAATGCCAAGCTTAACTGGAATTACTCTTCCACATAACACATCAACAGCATCTGTCCCAGCATCCATTAAATCTAACTTTGTAATCACAGCCAATGTACGTCTTCCTATATTGAAAATTATAATAATCGATTTGTTCATAAAAATCAATATTTCACTAATGTTTATAATAATAATTTTTAAAAATTTGTCATAAAATGCATAATTTATTATTTAGAATTTTATCAAACTCCCTTATGTCCTTTTTCTTATCATACACAATGGTCCCTGTTTCAAATCAATGATTTATTCAAAACTACTACTATTACTATTACTACTATTACTACTACTACTACTACTACTACTACTACTACTACTACTACTACTACTACTACTACTACTACTACTACTACTACTACTACTACTACTACTACTACTACTACTACTACTACTACTACTACTACTACTACTACTACTACTACTACTACTACTACTACTACTACTACTACTACTACTACTACTACTACTACTACTACTACTACTACTACTACTACTACTACTACTACTACTACTACTACTACTACTACTACTACTACTACTACTACTACTACTACTACTACTACTACTACTACTACTACTACTACTACTACTACTACTACTACTACTACTACTACTACTACTACTACTACTACTACTACTACTACTACTACTACTACTACTACTACTACTACTACTACTACTACTACTACTACTACTACTACTACTACTACTACTACTACTACTACTACTACTACTACTACTACTACTACTACTACTACTACTACTACTACTACTACTACTACTACTACTACTACTACTACTACTACTACTACTACTACTACTACTACTACTACTACTACTACTACTACTACTACTACTACTACTACTACTACTACTACTACTACTACTACTACTACTACTACTACTACTACTACTACTACTACTACTACTACTACTACTACTACTACTACTACTACTACTACTACTACTACTACTACTACTACTACTACTACTACTACTACTACTACTACTACTACTACTACTACTACTACTACTACTACTACTACTACTACTACTACTACTACTACTACTACTACTACTACTACTACTACTACTACTACTACTACTACTACTACTACTACTACTACTACTACTACTACTACTACTACTACTACTACTACTACTACTACTACTACTACTACTACTACTACTACTACTACTACTACTACTACTACTACTACTACTACTACTACTACTACTACTACTACTACTACTACTACTACTACTACTACTACTACTACTACTACTACTACTACTACTACTACTACTACTACTACTACTACTACTACTACTACTACTACTACTACTACTACTACTACTACTACTACTACTACTACTACTACTACTACTACTACTACTACTACTACTACTACTACTACTACTACTACTACTACTACTACTACTACTACTACTACTACTACTACTACTACTACTACTACTACTACTACTACTACTACTACTACTACTACTACTACTACTACTACTACTACTACTACTACTACTACTACTACTACTACTACTACTACTACTACTACTACTACTACTACTACTACTACTACTACTACTACTACTACTACTACTACTACTACTACTACTACTACTACTACTACTACTACTACTACTACTACTACTACTACTACTACTACTACTACTACTACTACTACTACTACTACTACTACTACTACTACTACTACTACTACTACTACTACTACTACTACTACTACTACTACTACTACTACTACTACTACTACTACTACTACTACTACTACTACTACTACTACTACTACTACTACTACTACTACTACTACTACTACTACTACTACTACTACTACTACTACTACTACTACTACTACTACTACTACTACTACTACTACTACTACTACTACTACTACTACTACTACTACTACTACTACTACTACTACTACTACTACTACTACTACTACTACTACTACTACTACTACTACTACTACTACTACTACTACTACTACTACTACTACTACTACTACTACTACTACTACTACTACTACTACTACTACTACTACTACTACTACTACTACTACTACTACTACTACTACTACTACTACTACTACTACTACTACTACTACTACTACTACTACTACTACTACTACTACTACTACTACTACTACTACTACTACTACTACTACTACTACTACTACTACTACTACTACTACTACTACTACTACTACTACTACTACTACTACTACTACTACTACTACTACTACTACTACTACTACTACTACTACTACTACTACTACTACTACTACTACTACTACTACTACTACTACTACTACTACTACTACTACTACTACTACTACTACTNAAATACCCTTAAACAAAGGAAAAGCACGTCCTTTATGAAGGCATAGAGCCTTTACTACATGAAAATGAAAATTAATGAATACACTGTGTACAGTAATTTACCTGATAACACAGACCTCAGAAAAATACTTTATGAGAGCTTTTATACTTTTATAAAGCTGTCTATAATGAAAATTTATTAACTAAGGATTTTTTTGCCCTGTTAGGGTGTGGCCGAGTTATCCGGAGTGCCGGGTTATCGAGAGCCGCGTTTTCGAGGTTCTACTGTATTACATATCCATCAACTATAATATAAATAGACATTACAGATGGTCTTAGAAAACATCACATACAGAATATACTATGAACCATAATCACAGACAAAAATCCATCACATCTGATCATACATTACATTGATAGATAAGCAAAATAAAATCATAATGTACACACACACTGAAAAAAAAATCACTACATGATCAGAAAAAAATAAAGTGCCTAAACAATGGATAATGTATTTATTGTGTTTCTTGTACAGGCATTATACCACATACATAACACACAAATCTTGAAACATTAGGGTTTCACAACAGTATGTACATTTCACTATAGAAAGCAGCCATACTAAACACATCACATTGTCAGGAAATCTTAAATACATACATACATGATCATCACACAACCTCATTATAAGTTTCTCTGTAGCCATGCCGTTACTTTGGTCTGGTATAGTACTAAACACATCAAGTAGAATAAATCCACACAGAGAATAAATAATAAAAATTTATATACTCATATACAATGCCAAATATAGTATAAGGAAGAAAATGTACTGTCTTTTGACATTAAATTTATTTACTTGATGAATTAAATACAAACAACCATAGTAATAACAAACAAGTAATAAATCAACCAACACCTGATGCTGAGAAAAACATTTATTTTGTAGTGCCCAAGCACTATGTATTGTTTTTGTTTATGATATATATATATATATATTACATGTGTCATTTCAGGTTTTCCATTGTAAAATTCCATTTTATTTCATGGTGCCAGATTGTGAACGGGTGTGGCCCATTGCGCTTGTCGATTGATCAGTGACCAAGATCATGTGTGTTGAACATCACACCCAATGGCGGGAAATATAAATATTGGAACTCTAGTCCAAAGTCGAGGTCTGATTCCGGTTTTTGAGTGATCAACAGTCAATGTGGTGTAGGAGTGTCAGTTAAGAAAAAGAAAGGGACTGACACATGTAAACTTTCGAATGATGAGAATGAAATCCGAATCCATCGTATAAAAAAACGCCTGTTTTTCACGAAATAACTGCAAGATATTAAAACAGGACCATCAAAGGACTTCAGGAAAACATTATTTTTTGGTATGTTGATTATTGTGTTCTTTTAAAAAGGAGAAGTAATATCTTCAATCCTTTCTTGTATAGTGTACTGGCATGTTATCTTATCTTGTAAATTTGAATAGAAGTATGTTCCTCTCATGTTTTAGGACAGATGAATATTTTGTAAATATTTATGATTAAGCCTTTGTTACTAAAAGTTAACCAAAACTGTAAAGTCCTTAAATCAATTTGTTCGTGCCTTGACCCTCTAATATTGCTTAACAGACCTAGGTCTATTGGGAACTAACAATTTAAAGAAACATTAACGTTTTTGACCTAATATGATAAGCTATCTTCAGATGCAAGTATTCTCGAACATATTTAACTTAATATTTAAACATCAGAATGTTCGAATACTTTTATGTTAAAATCAAAATACTGGATAAAATGACAAATTCTTTAAATAAATGTTTTTCTCAGCATCAGGTGTTGGATGATTTATTATTTAAGGAGGTGATAAGATATTTGGTTTACAAACAAGTACTTTAAACATTTCTAAATGAAATGTCAAAAGTATGAATTTAGTATATTCTTTCTTCAATTGAGAATGGCATTTTGAATTTGAAAGTACTTGTGTGTATTTAATTCATCACCAAAAGACAGTACAGTTTCTTCCTTATGGAATAAATAATAATAATAGTGATCCTAAACATTTATCATCATCATCACAATGTTTACAAATTGTAAATAAATTGTATTAATTCTTGCTAACTAAAAATCTAATAAAATTTTACTATAATCAAATTCTCATTTCAATTAGAGTATATTTTTTGATTCTTAAACATTATGTAGTGTAATAAATTCAAACATTTCACAGAAGTGTTCTATCATCTTTATTTACATAGTATACAAGATCCCATGTACCTATAATGATACCAAGTTCTACATAGGAGAAACAAAACAAAAATTAATTAAAAGTGAGACTTAAAGAACGTGTAGTATATCTGAAATATCACAGACTGAACTCTGCCTTCCACGATCACTGCACATTAATGACTGCAATATAGACCAAAATAATATAAAAATTTTACAGAGAGAAACAGAAACATACAACAGAAAATTTAAAAAAAGTGTAGAAATCCTTAAAAGTAAAAACTGTATAAATAAAAATTTAAGCATAAAAATAAGTGAAAATTGGCTTATGGTATTGTGAAAGGAATTTGAAAAATGCAAAAATAGGTAAAAATGTAGAAATTGAAAGAATGTTTTATAGTTTTTATAATTTTTTTAAATAATTTTTTTATAACTCTTAATAAATTTTTATAATCAATCATGAACTAACCTCTTTACGATGTAAAAATATGCTAATTAGTATGGAACTGTGTAGTAGAAGTGATAGATGACAGTATAAAGTAAAGCTAACGAGGATATATCTATTTGTGTTTCATTTAGTAAATACGAATTTTTTATATAACAGTAAAAGACAGAATTTGATTTGAAACTTAATATCATATTGCATCTTAATCATGAATGAATACAGATTTAAGCAAAAAATCTTGTACTGACAGTACATCCATCTTTTAATTTTGTCACCCCAAAAAGGAAACAACGAAGATAAACAATAAATGTGTAAGCTGTATAAGTATGTATTCATCCATGATACCCAGTTTATAAATAATCCAGAGGTATGTTCTAAAATATCTTTACCACTTGTATATTTTTTAACCTTTTACATACTGTATGTATTTGATATAATTTTAGTTGGCTGAAGAGGAGCATTTTACACCCAAAACGTGTATTTTAAACACGTATCAACTGAACTAAATAAAGATGATAGAACGCCAAATGTTTGAATTTATTACAATACATAGTGTTTAAGAATCAAAGAAAAGTCACAAAATGGTTTCAGATTATCATAGAGTATATTTACTAAATTATACATTAAAAAAAAAATTATCAAAAAAATGCTACTATACCATCTGGATCAACTTCACGTGCTAATTTTAGAGCTTCAGAAGTTGCAAAATCAGTATTAGCTGCAGTAACAGCAAGAATAATAGAGTTTGGATTACTAATATACTTTAAAATTAGTGATCTTATTTGTACTTCAATATCTTCAGGTTGATCTCCTACTGGGACCTATAAAAAATTAATATATATATATATATTATACATAGTGTACATTATAAAGTAACACATTTTTATCATAATATACAAATTTGAATTTTTTTTTATATATCTTAGTATTTGATATGGTGAGGTTATGAGTGACCTGATTTTTAACTACACTAATTCTACTAAGTTCTAACTCTATCTTATAAAAAAACAAACTATTGTCTTCTTACCATTAAATAATGAAACACCTGATGATTTAAATGTTTGCTTCTTTTGTATTTGTTTGTCTGTTTCATATTACAGTGAAACTTTGATTTAACAATCTCTGAATTTATGTTTTACTGAAATTTATACTTGAAGATAGCATGGTATAAATTGTACAGTTTGTATTGTAAGGCCATAATATCAATGTTAAAATTTTCTCGACTTTACATTTCCTCACTTTTCATTTGAATTGTAGTCTCACCAGCAAAAACTTCCTTGATTTTATGCACATTTCAATTAATGAAGCTATCAACTAAGAAGTATTATGAGTGATTCAGTAAAATTAGCCAAAAAAATATGCAGTATGTTGTAAATGTATTTAGCTAATAAAACAAGCTTTGAAAGCAAGTAAGCATTTTTAAAGATATATAAGTAAGTAAGAGCCATGCCACTTTTGTTTGATCTTTTGAATGGAAAGCTTTCAGGAAATGTTTAGTGTTCATTATCATTGCAAGTATATTTAAAAACTATTTTAAAATAAAGTCCTCAAATGAGAAGTAAATGAACAAATAATGTAAAATGCTTTCTATACACAAAAAGAAAAAAGTTGCAAATACAGTGAAATCCCATTTATCTGGCTCAAATGAGATTGTGTCCAATTTGGATGACTGAAAATCCAGAAAAACCATTAATGACATAAATAACAGAGTTTATAGACTTTCTATTTTATATTTCTAGTTTTTTCCTCCACATAACAACTGTCTTCTTTCCTTTAAATGTCATATTCATGGTGCTTACTTTATTTCAAAATGTTTGAAGATGAGCAAAACTCAGCAAAACAATAGAGGTTTAGGGTGTACAGTGAATAACTTGTGAGGTTATAAACAATAAATTTATTAACATGCTGACTGCCATGAGAAGCACAGCATTTTTATTCAACAGGAAAGTAGCAATTTTTTAAAATTGAAAATCTTTAAAAGATTAGAAAAGTTTCAAGATATTAAGTAAATTCAAAGAACATTCCCCCGGAATACATAACAATGAATGTCATATATCAATTTGTAGGAAACAAATCTATTCTTTTTACACTCAGGCAAGAATGTAATTGGAATCTTTTGATTTTTTACATTTATAGATTTTCTGTATGCTTATCTTTCTGAGACAGGGATTGTGTTTTATAATGTGGTTAAACCAGAAATCTGGATTAATAGGATCCAGATAAATGGGGTTCCACTATATTAGCCATATATTAGTTTTCAAATGAGAATGCTGGTGATCTTCTCTATATGATCACAGACATATTATATTTCATCATTACTCTAGCTTAAAAAGAGTGGTTTTTCCATAATCAAAAAAGGACTAATTGACTATTTAAAGAGTGTCTGTCTTCCAGATTGGGTTGTTATTTTTGCTGATTTGGTTCTATGTTGGATACTGAGTTAGCAGTTGACTTTATGCAACACAGTTCTACACAGGGTTCATACTCAAATTTTTGTTTTAATTTCTATGATTTTCCCTGACCTCCCCTGACCAACTTTGTACAAATTTCCTGACCCTCATATCTCTTACAGTATGCACATTGACAAAATAAAACAGTATTTGACTTCCTATGCAGATATGTTTTGCTTCTCTAATGTTTTAGTTAGTTATTTTTCCTAATTAACAGTTATGTATTTTTTTATAATTGCCAAATTATTACAATTAAAAATAAAATGTATTATTATAATTCTGTTATTAATTCACAACCAAAAACTATATGGCTTTGAAAAAATAAATAAACAATTATTTTTTATTATTCATTAACAAATTCTATATAACTCATATACAAATGTATATATTTATTAAAATTGCCTCTTTTAATAAATTTCCTGAATTTTTAAAATATTAATAAACTGGAAAAAATATCAGCAATTGTTTTGTTATGCAATCAAAATTATTAAAATGAAAATTGATAAATAATACCATTTAAATTATTTATCATTTTGTGTACTTTGTAAATTTTTGTGTAAACTTGGGAGAAATTTTGGGTATTGAAAATATTCTGCACCCCTTTTCATAAGTTGTATTGCACCACATTACTTCTTGCTGCCTGCAAACAGTTACACTTAGTCAAGCATATTGTCAGCAAAAAGTCAACAAGACAGCCAAGGATGCAAATTCCCTAACTTTTTGTTTGACAATTTTTAACAAATTCCTTGACATTCCATGACTTTTTCTGAACACCAATGAAAATTCCTGACTTTCCAGGTGCATAGGAACCCTGTACTGTACACTACAAGCTGTCCTGTCCTCCTCAAGGAACACTCACCATTATTTGGTTTATTGGTAAAATGGAGAGTTGAGCTCTGAGGCTTTTATTCTTAAGTTATTTAAATTAATTAACTGAAAAGTACACACAAATGCTTTTACTTGCTACTTCCAGCACTGATGTTTAATAGATAAATAGAAGAAGAAAAATGTTTTTGGGCACTTTAGTGACTCCTGAGGTTACAACCTGAATTTGAGTGTACAAGTTCATTTAATTAAAGGGAGTAAAATTTGGTGCTCAATTTAAAGGGTAAAAAGGTTACAACCTATATCGAATGTAAAAGCTCATTTAAAGAGTGTAAAAAAGTTGTTGCAACAACTTTTTTTACACTCTTTAAATGAGCTTTTACATTCAATAAAAAATTTAACAAACTTTTCAAAAAACTTTGAATAAACCTAAACATTAGACATATGAAGCATTCTGCACTTCAATGACATTAAATATATTAAAATTTAATTTTTAAAACATCTTTCAAAAAATTTTAAAAATAAACAACGAAAAAAATAAAATAAAAATATTTCAAAATTAAAGATTGCAATATATTTTTTAAATATAAATATAAAATTAAATCCAATGCAAGCAATGTTTGCCATGCTTGTGGCAAATTTAATATGTCTTTCTTATTAATATAACCCCCCTTTTGCACCTGTTTATAAATTTCAATGGCCTCAGCAGTTCTGAATTATTATAATTAATTATTATTATAATATATATCAGGGATGGCCAACTCGTAGACCCCGGTCAACCGGTTGATCACAAAGGTTTTGAAAGTAGCTCGTGAAGCTAAAGTTGAACAATTTGCTTTCACTTAAATTAATGTTTATCGATAATTTATTCTTATAATAATAGACTGTCTGTGCAATGTACCCATACTGTTTGTATGTATCCCGATGAACAATGCAAATGAATGTTAACGTATGCGCATATAAAAATCCTAAAATTGTTTGCCCATATTCATAGTCGTCCGCAGACTATATTTTACCAAAAAAGTAGCCCCTAAGGGATAAAAGTTTGGCCACACCTGATATATATCAATGAAGTCACAAACTTTTCATATGTAGCAAATCCATGAACAGAAAATATTTATTCTTTTTAGTTTTACTTATATTTAAAATTGATTTCTGTAATCATGATAATTCTAAAACCTACTGATTATTCCAGAATATTACTCTCTTTAATATTAGAGTTGAAAATGTATACTAATTGTCATACATTGAACCTGGTTAACTTGAAATTGATCAGGGAAAAAAATTTGAACTTAAAGTTAAAAACTTTGAATTATGAAGGTTCAACTAAAAATCAAGATTTTGTGCATCAGTTTACTGGTGACCTATAAAAAACTAGCCATATGATATTTCCAGGATCTTATTACATATAATTGTTGCATCAATGTATACTCTCAGCATTGTCCAGAAACTAAAACATGCTCAACCAAATGGTTAAATAAACTACCAAGAAATGCTTTTCCAAAAGGTTGATCTGTTCATTCGTAAGTGTTTAGTAAGGATTTTTTTTAAATTGTGATATTTTACACTTAAAAATAAATAATAGATTGATTCTATCACAAAAAAATTTATGACTTATATTTTTAAAATATTTCTGCAAAGGATACAACTTTTATATAGAATCACACTGTAATTGTTATTTGAATTAATTTATAAAAAATCTATTTATTTATTACATTGGCTAGTTGGAGAAATCCATCAGCAATCAAATAAATAATTAAAAAAAAAAAAAAAAAGGCAAGTTTAACAGTATCTAGGTCTCAAACATTGCCTGGAAGCTATCATTTTGCCTGTTGTCACAATGCTTATTTTTAGTTTTATGTGGTTTCTGTGCTTTAAAGAAAGTTTCTGATTAGTTATAAGATAAATGAACATTACTTATTTTATTTAATGTAAAATTCAGAACATTTATGAAAATACTGTATCTAAACTCCATTCAAGTTAACCAGTTTTATTTAACATCATCCCCTATAAAGAATGATCGGAGAAAGAAAAGGACTGAGTAAACATGACTCCCTAGTTATCCTGGTTCAAGTTCACCAGTTTTTGCTGTATTTAAATTAACCTTATGGGAGTTACATGAAGTGCCTTCAGACAGACACCATTGTTTATTCTGAAATCAGCAGCATCATATCAAACTACAGTAGAGCCTCGATTATCCGACTCAATTGGGAACTGGGGTTGGTCGGATAATTGAAAAGTTGGATAACCGGAAAGTATGAAAAAATCCATTATTAGTGTAGTATATTATTACATCTCATGTAATTAGTATATTAGTATATCACTATTAACCTACTTCATGTTGAATTTTCATCAATGTTAAGCCTAACAAAAACTTTTTTAAATAATCGTCGCTATTGTATCGTTAAAAATTAGAAAATTAAGCCTCATTTAAATACTGGCTCCCTTTCATGGTCGAATGAGTGTTGCCAGCTAAAACATGTAAAAATAATATTAAAGTAGCCAAGACATAGCCAAATATTGTAGCGCCACATCACTAGCTGACATTTGAAATTTGCCGACTAGGACGGTCGGTTAATCGGGGGGTTGGATAATTGAGGCTTTACTGTACAATTATCTTTTATTTCAGTATTTTGCCTTATTTCTAATTATGCAAAATACTTGTGGATTGGTGAAGATGCATATTTTATTATGTTTAGTTTATTGTAATTTGATATAATAAAGCAATAAAATAAACATATCAAATTTCACTTTGCTGTAAATTTTCTCTGGTTTCGTGGATTAGACATTAGGTTTGTTGTAATTGGAAAACGAACTGTCTTTCAAGGTCAGAATAGGAAAACCTTATTACTTTAAATGGAGATCAGCAATAGAGCTAGTAATGAACTCCACTCCAATGTAAACAAACTGTTATGTTTTATTATGCTGTAAACAAAAGTGCCCATTTCACTTGTAAATTAATCAAATGATAATGTTATTGTTTTATTTTATTCCAAAGAATTTTTTTAACATGTAACAACCAGTTTTGCCAGAACTGATTACTTTTATTTTCATTTTTTTAATGCAATGTAGCCATGAAATTATCAAAAAATTTATTACTTTAATTCAATAATTAAAGTAGCTAGAAATATTACAAAAAGCATCAACATTTTCTGCTGATTGTTGAACCTGGAATGTTTTCTTTATGAGAAATGTAACAATTGAAGAAGTAATGTGTGGATCATCAAAAATTTGTCAATCATGATGCCAATTGCCAGTTAATTCATAACTTAAGTTAAATGCATTTATATGATAAAATTCTTGTCATGTTGTCTTGATAAAATATAAAAATTTATTCACTTGTAACTTAACAGTTTGCATTATCAAAATTAACTTTTTAATTTTTGTCTCACTGCATGATATATAACATAGTGAGAATCAACATGATGCTCACTATGTCAAATTGTTGCATACAACACAGCACTCCCATTTTAAATAAATTGGAACTCTTATTAGTTAAGCAGTGAAGAAATAGCAGAGAATGTACGGAATGACATTTTTGTAAGAATATATTTATGTTAAATTTCTATTGTATTGCATCATGCTCAATCAAAGCAACAGCCACGAATGCCCACATACAATTTCCTTGAAAAGTTAAAATGGAAATTTTTTAGATATTTACAAAATTTTAGATATTGAAAAATACATGTTAGGTGCCCCACAGATACCACATACAGTAGAGCCTCGATTATCCGAGCTAATTGGGGACTGGGGTTGGTTGGATAATTGAAAGGGCAGATAACTGAAAAGTATGAAAAAATCCATTATTAGTGTAGTATATTATTATATCCCATGTAATTAGTATATTAGTATATTGCTATTAACCTACTTTGCGTTGAATTTTCATTGATGTTAAGCCTAACAAAAATTTTTTAAAATAATAATCATCGCTATTGTATCGTTAAAAATTAGAAAGTTAAGCCTCGTTTAAATACTGGCTCCCTTTCATGGTCGATCCAGTGTTGCCAGCTAAAACATGTAAAAATAATATTAAAGTAGCCAAGACATAGCCAAATATTGTAGCACCACATCAATAGCGGACATTTGAAATTTGCCGACTAGGACGGTCAGTTAACTGAGGGGTCGGTTGATAGGGGGTCGGATAATCGAGGCCCTACTGTAATTCCAAGGATTAAAATATCAAAGTGTAAAAATACACATACCTTTGTTATTCCTGGCAAGTCCACTAAAGTCAAATTTACAACATGTGAAGAAAATATCTTTAAATTAATAGTTTCTGGACAAATTCCCTGTAAATATATAAGTTGTGACATTACTATTTGTAATCTTCTGTTCATTAAACTGATGATAATTTTAATAAATGCAATTTTCTTAGAAATATAAATAAGGGATATACTGTGTGCCCAAAATCTCCCATTTTTTCTTGAACTATAGTGAACTATTAATACAATAAAATTGCAGATTCACTACACAAGTAATCTTAATCTCTGCAATCAGAGTACAGTAATTTTTATGAAAATTCATTCCATTCTTAAAAATAATTGTTTTAGCTTCAGTTGTATATATGATCCTACATCATGTTCATAACAGGACATGCTCTAACAAATTTCTTTATGACAGTCCATATCATAATTACATTTTTCTATTGAAAAGTGATTTAAAGAAAAGAATCAATAATATTAGAAACTGTCAAACTTTCTTGGAATGGGTGGGTGTAACATTTGACAATTTTCTTTTAAAATTTAAACATAAAAAAAATTTATAAATAAATTATCTTGTAATAATAAGAAATTGCTTTCTGTAAAAACTACATTAAAAATTTTAGCGTAATTGTCCAAATGAGCATATAGGTGTGTTTTTATTGATTTTAATATATGTTTTGCATTGAGCAGTTATTAGTACAGACTTTAATCTGTTGTTATATTCCTTTGTTAGTCTCCATTCTATTTGTGCATGTTTTGTAAACTTAGCCTGTTGAAATTTTAAATATCTATACACCTTGCTCTCATCCATGGACTCTAACATCCACAGATGAGAGAGATATAAAAACAGTCTTCCTCTTCAGAATTATTTTTCTATGAGAAATGTTCTGCATTTGTCTTGGGACAAATACCATTTGTATGTCAGTGAAACAGGTGTAATTTCTAATAGGTGACTTGGATGTTTGTGGGTAGAAGCAGTTATGTTGTCCATGTACTGTAAGGTGTCTTTTTATGCGGATTATTTTTATGCGATTTTGAAGTGGTGCGGTTTGTATTTCATCCAAAAATTTCTTGGACAAACATACATATAGGCTTGTTTAGGAAGCCTGTGTATAGACAGTCTCCAAAAATCGTGGAACGCTCAAAGCTCACTCCATTTGTTCCACTGACATATAACGTTTATGGATGTAAAGGACAGCTAGATCTACCTTAATCGCTTTAGTTCCTAGCAATTTTTGATATAAATGTAATTAAACATTAAAAATACTTAAAACTAAAAAAAACGAAAGAAATGCGTTAATTTTGAAGAAAAAGCTTCAAAGTTTAACTTCCTTTGTCTTGCCCTTCTGTGAAATTTAACACCGATGAGTCAGTTTATACATCTGGATGACCTTGAACACAGCTGGAGTTGGATTTCCCGGGGCATTCTCATAAACGTCGCGGGAGGACAAGGGTTTAAAGTAGGGTGAAGCTGGCCGTATATTTTTTAATATTTTTAAAAAATTTGGAGACTTAAAAAACATTCCAAAAATTTAAAAAAAAAATGTAAAACTATATTACTTTTCAATAAAATAAACTGAATTAAGTTTGAATACAAGTTTATTTTAAGCTTTTATATGAATTTCTTTCAGACATTCGAAGTAATTCATTAAGCAGCCTATTTCTTTTAATTTCTGCAAACTTTTTTTATGCGGTTTTAAGTTAATTTTAACTTGTTGTTTTGGTTTTATGTGATTTTAGAAAATTATGGAACGTATCCCTACTTTTTCAAGGCAAGTAAAGTTATTTTTTATGCGAATTTTTTATATGTGCTTTTCTGTAGAACGTATCCACCGCATAAAATGAGACCTTACAGTACTGTACTGTACATGAAGTGAGATAATATGTATAGAGTTGTTTTATAATGTTTGATGATGCATTCATATACACACAACAGTCATAACATGTGAATAACCACAAATGTGATGATGCTGGCAAATGCTTTCATTTAATCTATGCTGTGTGTACATTTGTTTTGTTTTTGCATGTCACAGATAGCAATTTACAAATAGCTGTTCTTTGCATTCCATGCAGTTTCTACAAAGCTTTTTTGTTAGTCTATGATGAGTCATCAAACATTTCTCACAGCTGGCCAGATAACTAAGAAAACGACAAGTGTTGGCTGCATAACTATTTTGTTCAATACAGTACACTGAATACACAAAAAATAAAGGCAATCAATATATTTATTTACCAATACACAAACATGAATGCTGCAGCAAGCTCGTAATCACTTTTCTTAGTAACTTCATTGCAAGTACTTACACAAAAAGCCCTCTGATATCCAAAGTTGCAAAAAGTTGCCAAATTTTTCATTTCACTAATTTTTCTAAAAATTATATTACTGTCAGATACAAAAATCAGATTGGACCAATTTTGGCATTTTTACTTATTTTAATTTTTTTTTTTACATAGTAAGTGTAAGTTTATCTATAATCTATTATATTTCCATATAAATAATTATATTTTAGCTCATTTGTGGCACAATGCAGCAGTGACTGGATCTGATCCACAGGCTGTAGTTTGGTGACTTCTGTTCTATGAGATTGTTGTTTTTGTTTAATGTGCTAGTATATGTTATTTGTAAGATGTAAGAATTTTGTAAAATGTTTTAAAGGATATTGTTGATCTATCCTATGTTGCATCTTTTTGTTGTTATTATTATTTTTTCTTTCATCTATGTGATGCCCTATGCAAGAAGTTTGTCAGTTGTTACTTATGTGTAAAATGTTTTGGCTAGTTTCCAGTGAAGACAAATTTTTCTTACCAGAAATTGTAAAAGTCTACACCAGGTGTCTTCAAACTGTTTTCTTTGTACTGTATTTTGTATGCTGTATATGTTTATTTTGACACAGAACATGATTAGAACATTATGCATGTTTTGTTCTTCCAATTTGATCGAGCTTGTTTTATTTTTTGTATGTGACTGGTTGGACCAAAGTGCAGATCAGTAGTCTGCAAGTTATTTTTCTGTTGACATAACATTGTAGTTGTCTGTAGAAAAATGCCTAATTGTTTGTGAATAATTTATTTTGTTTTTGTAACATACAGGTTTCATATTATAATAGTTTATATAACTTGGCAACACTTTCTTTTAATTAATAAAAGCTGGCTTCTTGAAATTAGCAGTGATTTATTTATTTATCAGGTTTTGTATTGAGTCTATGATTTGGCTACTGTTTTTGTTTCAGGGTATCAATGTTTCTGTAGGTGCATATTGTATCATTCATGTTTTGTGTGTGTTTTAATTTTCCTGAATATTTTCCTAACCTCTTTCATAAGGTTTGGTTGGTGTTATGTTGTTTTAGTGTATTGTACCAGCTTGCCTAATTATTGTCTAATGTTATTTGTGTTTTTTTTAGTCTTCTTTCTCAGACACGATTATGATTTGTCTGTGTTTTGAATATGTCTGTTTATAAATGTAATTTAAAACCATAGTATTTAACTACAGTAACTAAATCAAAAACTGATGTATGTTTGAAAGGGTTGATTCTGGTGGAATATGTTTTGATAAAATGTGTATAATTAGATAAGATAACATTTCTTGTAATTTGGATTGTATATTTTGTGTCTGTGAATATTTGTGGTCTGTGTAAAATTTAATTATATATAATTAGTGAATGTTTCTTGAAATAAAATTGTGAATGTGTTATTTAATTCTCTGTCTACATGGTCACTGGCTGTAATTATTGTCTTCATGCTGAGGTGCACGTTGTAGATTATGTTGTATGTTTTCGTGAGTGGCTGTTGTTGAAGTACTGTCAATAAGTGTGTGATTTTCTGTGTAATTTAGTATTTGTTTTTTTATTATTTTACAACTTGTGGTTTGATATGTTCTGGTTTTTTTCTGCAATAAGATTGTTGTGTATAATTGTTCTTTTCTGATCAACAATCCTCTGCTCTAACAGTGAGTTGTGGGTATTTTTCTATGAATTTGTCATGTATTGGCTGTCTGTCTGTATACTGTTATGTCTGTTTTCAGTTTTATGATGGTATAATAGGTAGGGACTGTCATGTCTTGATCACTTTATCTTCCTGGCATGGTTTTCTAGCCTTGTGGTCAGTGACTGAATGAAGGATCCAGTATCTTTACTGAAGAGAGGAGGTTGTGAATGTCGGTCCATATTTGAGAACCTCCTGTACAATCATTCTGGACCTGAAAATCCTTTTGAACAATCTCTCTGATACAGAAGGAATACTATAAATGGATGACAACCATGAAGATCAGGAATGAGAAATGAACACCGGAGATGGTGAAGGTAAAGGATGGTAGAACTAACTTTTCGTTACGAAGAAACAACATTACCCTCGTCAGGGTCGACAAGAGCAAAGCCTTTGTAGATGTGAAAAGGGACACTTATGTATGAGGTTTGCAACAGTACATATAACAGACACAATGCAAAAGAATAGAGCTCAAATTCATTGATAAGCTGCAAGCTAGGGTTAAGTGCTTCTCCCATACAAAGCTAGCTGAATGGCTAGCTCTAGCTAAGTCAATGGTGAACTCATCAGATACTCCATGGTTATTCACATTTTCCAAAACTCAAACAGAGTCAGCAACTCCATCCAGTGGTGGACAAAACCGGATTCCCTAACGACTTGTTGGAGAGATACATCCACACACTCCTCAATGAGCATTTACAGAATTATCCAGTTCATACAAGCTAAGAACATAGTAATAGCTTGTATGAACTGGTACAGCAATTACACAATGTGGGCCATCCAGGCTACCTAACAGTTTTAGACTTGTACCTGTCAATTGAACTTTCCTGTTGTTTCTGGACCATTCATGACTGGTTGTTCCAGCTTGTTAATAACACCCTCCACTTACAGGTATTGTAAGTGGAGGGTGTTATCATTAACTGGCACATTTAATTTGCTACAATTCCATCTTCTAATTCAATGGTAAGGTCTTCCCTCCAAGGACATGGGGTCCCAATGGGTACCCAAATCTTCCTGCATTTCCCCGTGCCTTTCCATCAGCTGTTTCAAAGCAAAGATAGCATCAGTCATATTCCTTCCCGGCAAAAAGCCAAACTGTTTCTCTCCAATCTCAAATTCCTGCCAAATCCGTCTTTCTACAATTTTCTCCCAAAATCTTCATAGTATGGAATGATATCTTTATACCTCTAATTTCTGCAATTCTGTACATCCCCTTTACCTTTAAAGATTAGCACAAGAATGCTCTTCCTCCATTCATCTGGGCTTCTCCTGCTGCCAGTTTCTTCATAAAGTCCCAGAGGATATCAATTCCTTCCTTACCCAAACCTCTCCAAGCCTCAACCAGAATGAATTTCCCCATCTTCATTTTCCTAAGTACACTTTCCACTTCTTCTCTGTTAATATCTTGCACTACTTTTTCATTTGTCTCTCCATTCTCATATAAAGTTCTGGGGTTTTCTTCATTCAATAAATTCCTAAAATATTCTTTCCATCTTTTCCTTGACCCTTTCGTAATCTTGTAATACCACTCCTTTAATCAATTTAATAGAGGTAAAATCTTTTTGATGCCTTATCTCTTGCTTTGGCAATTCTCATCAACTGCCTTTCACCACCTTTCCTTTTGAAAATTTTATAAGCCTCTTCTAAAGCCTTTGCTTTTGCAATAGCCACCTTCTTTTTATTCATTTTATTTGCTAAATGGTAAGTTTCTTTATCTTCAGGCCTTCCCATCAAATTCCACCTTTTCTTTGCCTCTTTCTTTTGTTTAATTAACTGCAAATTGTACCTCAGCATTCCACCACTAAAGTTCCTTTCCTTCTGGCAATCTCTTCCCTGAAGTTTTTCCCAAAACCTCTTCTCCAACTTTCAAAATGCAATTACTATTCAGCAACCACCATGTTTGCTGGATTTCTTTTAACACTTTTACCTTTCCTTAAACTCTTTCCTTAATTCTTCCTCTTTCAATCTCCACCATTTGATCCTTTGTTCAATTTGGCTAACACAATTCTTACAACGGCCCATAGGAAAGTCACAATTCACCAGGAGGACTCTGTTGTGCAGCAACACTTTCTCCATTTAACACCTTCCTGTTTCTCACTTCTCTCAGATGTCTCCTGCGGCACAAGAAAAAATCAATCTGGCTGGATCTACCACCACTCATGTATGTAACCAGTTGGTTCACTTTCTTCTCAAAGTAGGCGTTAACTAGTGCAAGGTCAAAAGCCACAGCATGATCAACTAGTCTTTCTCCCACACTCCACTTCCCAAGAACTCTTCTTTCTGTATTCTTCCTCTTCCCAACATGACCATTTAAATTGTCCCCACAGATTAATCTCTTGCTCATAGGAATACACATTATAACTTGGTCAAGATCTGTCGAAAAGTTTGTCTTTGCTTCTTCTCCACTACTTGGCTGAGGAGCATACACACACACAATCATAATGAAAATTCCACCAACATCCAACTTAACGCTCATAATTCTATCACACCTTCGTTTACCCCACAGACACTGTCTTTCAGAACTTTATCAATTATGATACAAACTATTCCTTCCTCCCTTATTCACTCCACTCACAAACAGGAAGTATCCTTCATCAAGTTCTTTAGCTTTATTTCCTTTTCATTTTGTCTCTTGCAGGCACAAAATGTTCACTCTCCTTTGCATAAGATCAACCAACTCTCTACTCTTCCCATTCATTGTTCTGATGTTTAAAGTACTTATTGTTATACTTGTCTTCTTCCTCTTCTCTTTCTGGACTAACTTCTTTATCTGAACCCATTCTTGGTTCAGTAGCCCCAGCTCATTTACATAGTTTTTGGGCGATATGGCTGCACATCACTTCAGAGGGACATCCTAACACAGTTATAGCTTACTTCCATGCAGTTTTAGCATAGGTTTTACGGCCGAAACCACAACAGTTGAAAATTAAACTCACTATGGCAAGGCAAAAAAAAGTCAGTTATAAAAATTAAATTTATAAAAAACATTTCTTTAAAAAGATAGCTTTATCTCTTTTGTTTAACTTTAAAAAAACTCACTATGACAAGGCAAAATCACAAAAAAGAATAAAGTTATCTTTTTAAAGAAACATTTTTTTTAAATTTAAATTTTATAACTGACTTAAATAAAATTTTATATCTAGTAATGCAATATATTTAAACTAATGAATTATAACTATACTGTATAATTTTAAGCTGTTTAAAATTTGAAGATTTACCTTATTAGTACCCCCCATTCTATCTGTTTCATCTTCAATTTCTTTCCTAACTTCATTAAAATCTGTAAATATCTTATCTTTTGTATGTAAAAACTTGCACCATTCTTCTAAATGAACAGTTCCTAAAAAAATGAAAAAATTTCACATATTTAGGATTTAGTTAATGCTAATGTTTGTCCATGTTGGCAAGAAAACTAGCTCAAAAGAAACAAACCAAAGATATTAAAATTATTTTTAGATATTATACTGAATTACTACCTCAATATTTTAATATTAACATCTAACTTATATATTTTTTCTTGAACAATTTTGAGAACTAGATAAAGTTAAGGACAAATTGAGATGGCAATGGTCAAAAAAATAAAAGTATTAGCTTATGTAGAATATCAAAACTCCAGCAGTAACAAAATATTAATACTAGAACATTTTTGGAGATCTTAGCCTCCATCTCAGGTTCTGAAGTCTTTTGAATGTAGAACAATGTCTTTCAAAAACATAGACAAACATTGTTCTATGTTTGAAAGACTTCAGAACCTGAAGATGAAGACATAAGATCTCCAAAAATGTTCATTGTAGTATTAATATTTCATGTTACTGCTGGAATTAGGATGTTCTACATAAATTTATTGTTTTCCCAGTTAAATAGTAGCAGTAGACCCCCTATAACATGGTAGATACGCTCCGTGTTGTACGAATCACTTAGACTTTACAAATACATGAGCTATTCACAGCCCAAAGTGATTAACTTTAGATTAGTTTTAGATAACATAAAAATTATAAAAGTATTAGACTTACCTAATTGATGTACGTATTATAATATCTGTTTAAATTTATTTAACAAACACACTTAACTTTAAACACAGCTTAATTGATAGTATGTATGTAACAGAGATGTGTACTTTCTCTAGATGAAATAAGGTTTAATTTCACAAAGCCATAAGCCAGACGATAATGACTTCTTGTCGAGACGACCACAACCTCTCAACATACAGACGAAAGCAAACTCAACTTTCCTGCCTAAACTGTCCGTATATATGCGTGCCGCTGGATGGCAATCACTATTGGTCCAGATTCGACCAATCCTGTCTAGACACAAGTCGACCATAACAATCTGTCTCATTCTTTTACTGTGTTATATGAACCTCTTTTAGCATGTTATACAAACACAATTACAATTTTTCCGCCATATTATACGAATCTGTCTTACATGAACCCGTGTTATGGGGGGGTCTACTGTAGTTGTTTATACAGAAATAAAAATAGTCAATGATAAATTTGGAAATAACTAAACACCTTAATAGGAAAAAACCCACAGTAGAACCCTTAATTATTCAATGTAGACAAAAGGTATCTCAAATAATCCTGGAATAACATGGAATATTAAGTAAATTTAAATTAGTTGAATTTTTATGCATTAAAAAAAAAATATTAACATGTACAACAATTTAAAAGGAAATAGAAGGCAATAAAACAGGATATGCATTAAATGCACAATTTTAATAATACTTTATCTATATATATATATATATATATATATATATATATATTAGCTGGAACNACTTTTTGTAGTTCTTTAGTGTTGTGTCCCTAGTTTCTTTGTTGTCCCTTGGGTGCTGTTTTGTCTTAATTCCATTGCTTTATTTTGTTTTATTTTGTCATCTTATATATATATATATATAAAAATGGCCATGTGTCCCCCTATATTTCACACTTTTTAGCCAAAACTACACATTGCACATGAATGGTGTTTGTATGTGGTAGTAGCCCCAAGTCTCCATCCGTGCACTATGGTGGTTGCGTCTCAATAGCTATAAGGGTGCGGGAGATATGGGGTTGAAAGTGGCTGACTTCGAAGATGTGTAACAATGGAAGTGTCAACAATGGAAGTGTTAACAATAGAAGTGTTAACAATGGAAGTGTTAACAATGGAAGTGTTAACAACGAAAGTGTTGAGTAACAAAGGAAGTGTTAATATAAAGCGGCATGCAAGATTTACAGGCAGTTTTTTGTGGGAAATCAAACATATTTTTAGACTCATGTAAAAATTCTCTAATTAGTCTGGAAACGGGGACATAATTCTTGCATTCTGTGAAAACTGTTAAGATTGGCTATAATGTAATTCTCTTAATCTTCACTATCGTTACTTTTTGCCCACAAATAAAAACCCAGTGAAGCTTGTCCTTGCAGCTAGATTCTAGATTACTTGGAAAAACAGTCTTTTATATATATAAAAAACTATATTATACACAAACAAAAACCCAGCGAAGCGGGTCCTTGCAGCTAGTTGTTGAATAAAAAACTAATTATTTACATTCTAAAAGTTTTAAAAATAATCCTAAGAATTACTGTTTTGTTTTCTAATTTCTAATAAATATGTTCAGATTTATTAATAAATTTATATTTTGAAAAGTTAAAAGTTCATGTATCAGTGAAATAATTTTCAGATCAAAAACATATAATTAATCAAATAAAATTTTCTTAAATTTTTTGTAAAAAAAATAATAAACTAAATGTCTTTGCTATAATCATCTCTCAAATTTCTACAGTATTAACAAATTTATATTACATGCAGAATTTTATTTTATACATGATTTAATTTATCAAACAACAAATTCTGCTTTTGTAAATAAAATCTCATTTTTTCACTTACTTTAAAATTATTAGTTAATAAAAAAATTAAATATTTATGCCTAAAAATTTACTTTAAAAATTTAATTACCTTCTGCAGCAGAACGATAAGTTGTATCATCCTTTGGAACATAAACTAATTGCAATATTAATGGACGTCTTGTAACTATTCCAAGTCCCCTGGGCAGAAAATCACGACCAACTAAACTTTCTAGAACTGAACTCTTTCCTGAACTCTATAAAATAAAGATTTGTTTGAAATGTCATAGATTTTTCTTCTTGTTAGTATTAAATTAAAAATCTAAATTTAACACCTAAGTTTTAGTAATTCATCTTAAATTCTATAAAGCAAAATTTATTTAATTATGCTATTTTTTAATAGTAGTACATTTTAATAAATTTTTACTATGTATATTTAATACTTATACATAGTTACTTATACATAGTAAAAATTTACTATGTATAAGTTGAAATAACTATTTCATCAAAATACTATAGATAACATCAGCCTTATGGAATGTATGCAGAATGGAACCTTAATGTAATATAGGATATAGCAAAGATAGGCATCTTCGGGACTTCCTATGGTGTATCCAGCATCCAATAATTTTGCAAAAATTACAATATGTTAGATATAAGGTCCCATCATCAAACAATATGCTAGTATATTAAACTGATGTTATGTTATAGAGATGATTTGGTAAAAAGTTGTTTTTAAATTTATAGAAGACATTAATACAGGACACTCACTGCCAGGAAAAATTGTTTAGCAATTTGACTAATTAGTTGTGAAAAATGTTAGTCCAATTCAGAAAAACTATAGTGTAGCCCTACATTCTTAAAATATTCTGAATACAAAAAGAATTTCAATATTTTATTGTGATATAAAGTTCCATTAAACTGCACTGCTATGGGAAACAACAAAACTACAAAATTTAATTTTTCAATTATAATGTGTAATAATAAAAATTTACTATAAATTACATACATATTTTTGCTGTTTCTTATAATTATAAAATTCTTGAAAGTGTCATTTGTTTTGTTTTGAGTTGACATTCTTACTGATAAAATATTAATTTATTATATTTCAAATTACATTAGGATATTTTAAATTTAGTACATTAGGTTGGGCCTAATTTTGTAATAAATTTATTAATTTAAATATTCATGAGATGGAGTGATGCCATTAAAGAAAATAACAGATGTACAGTACAGTGACACTGTACACACATTCTATAGCCATACTGCACAATTTCCATGAAATATCAAACATTTTCTTTAATATTTAGTTTTACAAAGTTAATATATATTTCTACTTCAAAAGATGTATCTGTTACAATACAATTTCAAAAATATAGAAAATCTTTAGTTATTGTTATTTTTTCCAATAATAAACTATTTACAGATGTATATAATTCATTAAAACTTTTATAAATAATACAGTGATCAAAATTAATGTTGTAATAGAAAATTTAAAAAATAATAATTAATTGAAATAACTTGTTTTTGCAGTTTAAGTGATAAAAGGCTGATCTCAAACTTAAAGAGGTGGAGAATAATTGAGGAAGGTCAGAAATAGTCTTTTTAGAAACAATGAATTCAAATGTTTGTTTTCATATCACAAAATTGAAATTTAACAAATAATTCTCTTTTGTAGATTAATTTGACTAAATTTTGATAATGTTCAAATAGGTAAAAGTTTAATTACTTGGTATACCAATTACTTTTTGAAGTTATAATTATAAAGGGAAACATTTCAAATTTTTTTTTAAGTGGGAAATATTAAGATAAAAAATTGTGTGTTACACTAACTGCACTTTATTTATAATTTAGGTCTACTCAGATGTATTAAGCCTGATTTAAGTTCTTCCATACAGAATCTAGTGTTCATTAAGTATAGCAGAATGACATCATTTTATCACATTCTCATACTTTATAGGGGTGTTGCATCATCTCTGCTTTGTGAACATGGAAGTTTCTAATAAACTAATATTTAATTGTTAATATCATAATTTAAAAAATTTTTAATCTTTGACTTAAATTAATTTTCTTATAAAATGTGGAAAATCGTGTTTAAGAATCAGAAATCATAATGAGATTTTCTCAATTCTGATTAATTGTCCCATCAGTACCAGATATATACTCCAATATTGCCTTTATGGTGAAATTATTCAAAGACAGACTATTATATAGGCTCTTCATTCAGATCTGTCAATAAGAGAATAAATGAGCATTTCTCAGTTTTTACTAATTGCATAAAGATTTAAACCTTAATCATTAATTTAATGGGCTTCAGACAGAAGAAAGTAGGGGACAAGTCTATTTTGAAAAATAAATCTAATCTTCCACTCAGGTTCCTAGAACAATTATATATTCACAGCTGTGGACAAACTCAGTAATAAATAAACTTGATGCATATATGTTAACCTAGAAATGCACATAGTTTTCTGTAATGCAATTGTTTAATTGCAAAAATGAAACAGTTTTTAATATG